ATTTTGGATTTTTCGGTTTTTCAAAATTTCGGTTCGCATAAATTTGTTCTTTTAGTTAAAAAATCGAAAAATGATAAATCGTGAAAAGGAAAAATTTTAACTTGACAACTTGAAAAATTAAAAATCAAAAAATTCCAAAATTGTAAATTTAAAACTTAAAAATGAAAGAATGGAATTAAAAACTGCAAAATTGTCAAACGAATTATCAAATGAAATATTTAAAAGTTGAAAACCTAAAAACTAAAAAAACATTGAAAACTGGTATTTCGAATTCGATTTTATAAGATTTGTTTTTTTTTTAATTTTTCAATATTTCAGTTTTTGATTTTCCGATTATACAGTTGTACAATTTTCCGATTTTTCATTTATCCGATTTTTCAATTTGTCATTTTTTTATTTTTAGCAAGCACTGCCCCACCCACGCAGCCTTTATTTTCTTAGAAGAATAAGTCATCTGCCAAAACCAGTCTTATCTGGGCAAGTACTATGTTCAACTGTTCCTGGTTCTAACACAATTTAACAGTCATGAAATTGTTCATAGAAACCACGTGTTAAGAAATTCGCTTATTCAGGCTTCACAATTTTGTTTATCAAGTTATTACTAAAGTTTATGGATATTTTACTTAAGTATTACATTATAATAACACACTTTACCTGTCCCTCGAGATTTCTAATTCATTTATGGTATTTAAACTCACCTTAAACCTTAGTATTTTGAGAGACGACCTTAAAAAATTGCGGTTAAATTCATACACTCTTAGCCTCGACAAGCAGAAGGGCTTTAATATTTTCTTACAGGTTTAATAGTTTGTCCCAGCTTTAATTATTCTCTTGCGGGTTAAATAATTTTCTTGCGGCTTGAATTTGAATGTTTATCCTCAAAGTACCTCTAGCGTTTCCTAGACTATCGGATTATGATCTTGATCGTATTGAATATACGTTTTGTGTGATGTGAGGGTTTCAGTCCAAGAGATAATCGCTGAACGCGTTCTGATTTAATTAATAACTTGAAATAAGTAACACATGAATTAACATCGTGTAACTTCTTTGTTGTTTAAAATTGTTGATTAAGTGTGACGTAATTTAACAACATGTAAATTCTTGGTTGGTTGAAATTCTTGAGAGTAGCTAAATTAATTGAAGTCATTTTAGTATTCATTCAATCATCGTTATCCATTCAAGAGAGATAGAATTTGAACTAAACTGAAAAAAGGGGACAAAAGTTTGCGAAAGCGGAACACACGAAACTTAATGGGAAGATCTATACAGTAGAATCACTGAGGAAGGCTAAGAACAGCCGCTGCAACTCTCTTGCTGATTTCTCGACTGTCAAACATTCGTAATAACTTGTGCATTTGCATCTAAGTATTTACTTTAAGTCAATATTATCTTTTGCTTAGCGTTTTTAAATTGGATCTGGAACATTTGATTTGAATTCATTTTGAAAACTAGGCAGTTTTTTGTAGCTGAAAATTAAGGGGTCTTCAGCTTGCCCAAAGTTCGCTTAGTCACAGCTTTCTTTTGCCTCTGCAGAAGGGAGGAATAACGAATTTTTGTTGACGATGATGATAGTTCAAAACCAAATTTTTGAATTTTTCGCAGATTTTAAAATTTTGTTCACGTTCAAATATTGGCAGGATTTTAGAGAGTTACCACCACATGCAAAGCTTTTAGATATCATTGTTGTAAAAAATAAATGAGTGAATTTCCGCCACGTGTGAACAAATTACATGATTGTAGCTAAATTCTACTTGAACCATGAACAATAAAAATCTAATTAACTTGACCTATAAAAAAGATTGAAAGATTTTTTTTATTTTTAATTTTTCAAATGCGGTTTGGCGGCATGCTTTTTCTCGGCGCGAAATTTAATTTTTCAAATCTGGACACCACAAAAGAATAAATTAAAATCTCTGGTCCTGAATTTAACGGTAGAAGAATTTATGAATAAGTAAGTACATAATGTGGAAAAAAAGCACGAACATGAGTACATACTGCGGTAAAATTACTGAAAGAAATAAGTATATTAAAAGAAATGCTATCAAAAATTTTATCCACTTAAACACGTCGTTTCCATTAAAAAAGTCAATAACGCAAAAAATCCCAAATGAGGGAAACTACAAATATGTTTAATAAAAAAACTCGGTCGAAATTTGTTTCGACAGAACTTCCTCACTCATGAAGTACAACTCTGGAAAAATGGAATGTTTTAATCAATAAAATAAATTGACTCATTCATTAATTTTTTTAAGCCACCTGTTTAAGTAAATCTAAAAAATATGAATGCAATCCCAAGTTAAAACTCATCATATTGAGATGACGTCATCCATTCTTTGTGTGGAATAAACAGATAGATTTTGATTAACAATTTACCATGCTTAGAATAACTTCAAAACGTCTGCAAGATTTCAAAGTGCTCAGTTTCGCTATTCTTGATTTATTCAATAAAATAAATTGAGTGACTCATTAATTTTTTTGAGTGACCCGGTATAAGCAAAGCAAAAAACTGAGGTCCTTAATTTGATCAATAAAAAACTGGTCGAAGGCTATAAGTATAATCCAACAAATCGAGCAAATTATAAAATTTAATTATATGACATTTTCGTTTTGTAATAACCAACCCCTTGTCCTTCAGCACTAGGTAGTAGCAATCTTAAGCTCAAGTGTTTATTTATGTTTATACATCGAAAGAATGTCACGTAGAAATTAATTTCATTTGAATGAATTTGTCGTCTCAAAACAGGATTAAAATTACTAATTAAACCACAATCGAACAAAATGTTCCGAATATTATAATTCTTATTTTATCATTATACATTACAAATGTTTTTGCGAAAAATTGGACGTTTAGCGAAAAAACTGAAAGCGGATTCGTATACTATAAGTATATTGGTATATTTTTGTGTAACATGTAAAAAAAAAAAACATTCATTGAAATAACGTCATCAAATTGTTGGTGGGGATAATTAGCCAAATTTTGGTTAGCATTTAACCATCTACATAATATTTCTAATATACATACAAAATTTGACAACAATCGGTTCAGCATTTTCGGAGATTACGTGTCTAATAAAAATGGACAGACAGACGGAAACGGGAGACTACTTTTTTCATACTGTAGGGGTCATGCAACGTCGAGAAAATATAAAAGTTTCCATTCGTCCGATGGACTCGATTACTATAAAAAAAAAAACAAAAAACAAATTCTGTTTCACTAAAAAGCGAAGGCTAGTTATTTTTATTGTTAATATGTATTATCATAATTTAAATATTATTCCACTGCAGCATGTTTGTAGAAATTCGTTACGTAGGCAACACAAATTTTATTTAATAACCGCAAAGCAGCAACATAAGGGAAAAAAATTGGCTACAGCGGAAGTCCAACGAATCGTTTGAAGTATAATTTTTATATTTGTGAAAAAAACTCGTTAAGGAAATAAGCATCGTATAGCTAACCGTAAATGGTAATTTATGAATCCGCTTTGAGTTTTTACCATAGGCATCCAGATTTTCCCCCAAAAAATAAAATAAAATAACATTGTACAATAACATTTCGATCTCTTCATGGACTACTTTTTTTTCTTAAACTGTGAGTGGTATTATCTATATATTTTTAACTTATAGGGAGTATGACAAAAGAAATAAAATTTAGCCAAATTAAATTTTATAATTTTTCGAAAAAGTTGGATTTGGTCAAGGGCGAGGAAAGTTTTGTCTAAATAACTTTAGGATATAGTTTTTAAATATAAAATTGATTATTCATGATTTCATTATTTACTAAACGGAAAGAACGAGAGATTAGAAAAATACACCATTACGGTTTACCAGTTTTATAAATGTTAAAGACTAGACTAGGCTATATAAATACTTTCTTGTCTCTAGTTTAATAATAAGGTATTGATTATTGTTGTCACTAATTTAGACCAATAACAATACTTCGTATAAATTTCATCGTTCATAATATTCCTTACATTAATAATTTTTAATTCTACTACTCAACAATAATCTGATGATATCCATTTTAGTCACGTTACTTTAATATGAAATCAGGCTTAAATTAAACTGGTAAATAAATATAAGAAAACGTGCTCACAATTTCGGTGCTGCAAAGTGGGGTACACAGACAACGTTTAAGCAGTTTCAGTATTAAAATTTAATATATAACAAGTGCAAACCATAAACGCGGAAAATCTTAATTAACAAAAGAACGTTTAATTCCGATGAAAGATTTTTTTGTCTTTAGTTTTCATTTTGTTAATTTACATTAAAATTCTTTTAGCTATGCACTTGCAACATTGCACTTTACAAGCTATAAAACCCGTATTCATATGAATTCACACTTATTAAATGTTGCATAACTACATATACCGCGTGATCAAAAATGACTGAGTCTGTTGGCAGACCTTTTCAAACAAAAATGTGAACTTTTCGTACGTTTATGTTGGCATAACGGAAGTAATTGTGTGCCAGATATTTTTAAGTTATATTTTGGATACATTTTTAAAATTAAAAATGTCAACAATCTGTCAGTCTGGACAATCTAGAATTGCCAACAGACTCAGTCATTTTTTTTATCACGCGGTACTAATATTGTACGCTTGAAAAACACAGGCTTTATTTAATTCGTTTAAAATTCAGACAAATAAAAGCCCAGAATTACTTACCATCAAAAATAAGGGTGTCATTGTTGTTTTAGGATAAGTTTTGTTTTGTCTTTGAGCAGATAAATAAATTAGATTTCATTCCGAGGAACAATTACAGAGGAGCTTTGCCATAAAAGCTGCGGTCTCGCAAAATTGTAATGTACCTGTGTGATATTCTCTTTGCGCATCTTCTGCCGGGTTGATAATACAACCCGAATGCCGTTTTGGGAAGTCAGTGTCTCAAGGTCCCTTAATATAGCTCAGTTTGTCTGTTACCAGTTTTTTATGGGACACCATCTTATCTTAAAATGTTTTTTTAATTCTTCGATTCCAAAGCATTAAAACAAAAACACTGAATATCTGTTAAACTATTTTATTCTGCTTTCCTTCTCTTCATGAGTATAGTAGAAAATATAATGCAATATAATAATAACAACACAAAAACTAGATATGTAAATATATAACATAAAATGGATGGCTAAACGATATTAGAAAATTCGACCTCACTAATCTCTTGCCCTCACTATAATCGCAAGCAGAGTATAAACTATATCACCTTATATAACAGACTGTGATTATGACAAGTGCACTCCCTATAAAAATATAATACAAAAAACTGGACAGTGACTCAATCAAGCGGAATAACAACTTACAAATAAATACAATCACAAAACAATTTGTCAGAAAATTGACAAAATATCCTACGACAGAAAACGCCATACTGTTGCGTATATTCCAATCTTAGGCGAATCTCACTATTGTTTACAGATCAGTGTAAGAATCACTTAACTCGTCATACTTCCGTATTTTCGTCCCGGCGGCCAGACGGGCACTTCCGACGAACCAGGGCTAGGAGCTCTCGTAAAAAACGCATTCGCGATCGAATCACGCAATCTCTCTTTGAAAGTCTTGTATTCCATGTCGCTGTAGTTCTGACCGAAGTTGAAATCGGCTACTTCAACCACGAATCTGAAAGCGGATTCATAAACCACAAGTACAGGAGTATGTACTTTGACAACAACAAAAATTATAGTAAGGTTAGTTTACCTGGATCGATTCTGGAGATAATATGCCACCCCGAACACGATTAGCACCACAGCGACTAGACTAAACGCCACAGGAACGACAATTACAGACAACTGCGGTTGTTTCTTCACTAAAATTCAAACGATTAATCCACGCCTTTCCTAATACAAAAAATCAAACCTTTGTATACAGTAACAGCGACTGGAGTAACTACTTTACTAACTTCGTTTTCAATTATAATAATAATTGTATATTCCATTGACTCAGTAAAATAGCGTTGAATAGGAAATTCGCACTTTTCTAATTCTCGAGAATACGAGCAATTTTCTTTGCCTGTGACATTATAGACACCTTTTTCGTACCTGACGCAATACTGCAAATTTTTAGATCCGCGACACTTGACATTTAAGGACAGTAAATCTCCATGTTGGAGCCAATTGTTACCAGTAACATTGACTTTGGACACAGGAGCTAGAAAAACACGAATCAGTGACAAAGTTAATAAAAATTTAGTGTCTCACCTTTAACTTTGATTTTCTTCGCAAAATACCCGTAGGTCTTCCTCGGGTCCGTGACGACTTGGGTACTGTTACAGACAAAAGGAAATATTCCCTGATAGGGTTGGAGCGTTCCGTTAACATTAACCATAATTTTTGACGTTTGGTTGCTCACCGTTTGTTGTTTCACGTCTCGCTTCCCAACTGTTTTGTTGACAGGCGGTGTTGTAGTGGGTGCAACTGTTGACGATTTTGTTGTAGTAGGTTTAGGTGTGGTGGTTGTACTAGTTGTCGTCGTCTTAGAAGTAGTCGTAGGTTTAGTTGTTGTTGTAGTGGATGTTGTAGTTGATGGAGTTGTGGTAGTGGGAGGAGGCAAAGGGGTGAAATCAGCTACTACCAACGCCTCGACGAAATGTTCCTGTTCTGCTTGGGTGTAGTTGAAAGGGAAGATGAAATCGCGTCGGAAACCATAGTAAGTGCAGTCCACAAACCAGTACGTTAAGACCGTAGGAGCTCGTTTGATGAAATCAGCGTCCGTTGGTTTGAGTGAAACATTGTGAATTACAGTGTCTGCGTTTGATACGTAAACGCTGTTTCTGGTTTGATTTTTCTGAATGAGCAATATTTCACCGTTTAAGGTTTCTGAAAAGTGAATGCAAACATTGATTAAATATACACATGCTTCAGTTTTACCCCCTTTTGCTGAGAAAATTCTATACAGTATAAAACACAGTAACAAATACATTGTCACGATAAAACTAATCTGAAAAAATTTGGGAATACCCTATTCTTAGTTCTAATATTTATCAAAGCGATAAGTGATTGGATTTGAACAAATACCACCTCCCCAGTGGAAAATTGTTTAAAAATAAGATATTATCTTTAAATATTGCGTATTAATTTTACTCATAGAAATCAAATGTGGTGGCAGCTGATTGCTAGAAACGTAAAAAAATGGTCCAAAAATTATTTAGACAGAACTTCTCTCGTCCCTGAGTACGTTAAATAGAATTAAACTTGATTTATTATAAACCTAATAATTATACAGGGTGTTTCTTTTATTTGCTACAACCCCGGTAACTTTTTTATTCGTAAAGAGAAACCTCTAGTTCTTTAAGCAAATTTGTATCATTTTAAAAGATCTATGTGATGGCAACCTCATATTTTTATTTTTTTATGAAACACTAGGTATATTTTTTCATAAATGGAAAGATTGATTTTTTCTAAAAAATTAAAAGCAACCCATATTCTAAAATCAATACTTAATAAAATAAACGAAAAATTCATATGTATCAATGACAATCTAGTTGCTTGAAAAATTGACACTCATGTAATTTATTCACATAAATGATCTTTTAAAATGATACAAATTTGCTCAAAGAATTATACGTTTTTCTTTAAAAATAAAAAAGTTAAGGGGTTGTATCAAATAAAAGAAACACGTGGTATTTTGCAAGTGTAGTCACTCAATTTATATATTTGAATATAATGAAATTATTGTGTTTGACAAATTTTTATTTATTTATATTTATTTAAATATAAATTATGCCAATGAGGACACATCAACGAAGTCAATTTCTGTATTCAATAAAAAAATACAAATTTTACTCAATGGTAATTGTCGAAAGTTACTATCGCACGCAAAAATATTGTTTGTACCCAGCAGCGAGGGATGTTAGACTGCTCTGCCTCATCGCTGCGGGTTTTCATAATCCCCAAAGACTTTGAGATAATAGGACCCAGGATGGGTTAGTTAGTTTCGTGCTTGCCCGCTACACCTTAGGTCGTGGGTTCGATTCCTGCCCTGCCTCTGGGTGTTCTGTACGTCCTGTTTCCCTGTAATTGGGCATCTGGTCTGTTGGGAAACACAATTGAATAAAATAAAAATAAAAAATAAGGTGAACAAGGATTAAAATTTCCTGCTTTGAATACATAAAATGTTGACTTCGATAATATTTTAAACCAAAGAACAGAGTGATTTTTTAACAATAATGAATCTTTATTTGATAAATTTATCCAATGCCGAAAACCGAAAAAATTGAGGAATATTGACAATTTAAAAATGACACGAAACTTCGAAACGAAATATGTTCCCGGTTATTTTATTCTTTTTATACATGCTGTTTTTTAATATGTATGTTTTTCTTGACTGACTTCATATTAATAATTTATTACATATTAGTTCTTTTCCACATATGTATCTGCCTGCAAAACCGTATGCAATGAATTCTTCAAAATGCTTTAAGATTGTCATAAGCATGGTAAAAGGTTAATTTATTTATACCCTCACAAAAAATTTTGCCGAATAAATGCTATTTAAATTTTAAAGAATAACATACACCTGATAAATCCGTGTTGAACTCTTACTCAGAAGACATCCAGATTTTTGAAAAAAAAATTGAAATTGCATAATATATATACACCTACAGTTGTGGTTTATGAGTTCGTGTTCAGTTTTTACCCTTGACATCCTGATTTAAAAAAAAAAGTGAAAACTGTATAACAACATTTTATGATTTAATTTTGAAACTGCAAAACCGAAACGTTTTCAGTAGCAATCTCAGCTGCTGATACAACGGCTATGGAGTTTTGTTCTAAGAACCCAAATTTTCATTAAAAATATTACAATGAATTTGTAGTTTTATCACTAATTTTCCATTAATATTCCTGTTAAAATCATTCGACGTATTTTGAATTAATTTATGCTATATTTTGACTTTAATAAAGACATTATTATTTCAATTTTAATTTTTGTTTCCAAAAATCTAGGATGAAACATCAAGACGGATTCATAAACCACAAATATACAAGTATGTTATTTTTAAAAATCTAAATAACATTAATTATGCAAAGATGGCAGACAGATAGACGAAACGGAAGAGACCTAATTTTTTACATTCTAGGAACCAGGACAAAAAATTCGTCAGAGCCTATTACAATACTTTCTTAGCTTACGTGTGGGAAGTAAAAACAGTTTCTCTCAGATTTTTGTAAATTCTTCACTGAACTTCCGAGTTTTTTCATCACCACCACACAAAATTTTAAAAACCTGTAACTTTGCACTAAACCCAAAAAAAATTACTTTAAACTAAAAAATAAAATTCGTGTATCTCAAAGTAGCCACCTCTTATTTTCAAATTAAAGTTTATATTCATGTCATGTACACATAAATTTTAAAAATACAAACTTATCATTTATAATTCGTTCACGATCATTCTGGATAAGGACTAAGCATCCAGACTGCATAGTTTTGCTTGTGTAAAAGTTATTTTCCCTGTTGTAAATTCGATTTCCTAATGGTAGTGATAAAAATTTTAAAACGAGGTTACGGTCGATGACAGTTTTAACGTACTGTTGTTGATAATAAAATGTAACAATAAGTAACAACAAGTTAAGTGCTCAAATGAGTACAAATCTCAATAGCACTGACTCATCTTACACAGATTAGGTAATAAAATGTTCGATATCAAATGTGTACACAGACAGAATATAATTTGATACCACACACTCACGACGCAATATCTACTACAAATAACGACAGGTGCGTATTATTTACACCTTCCAATTACAATGAAAATTGATACTCAGTATGCACGCCTCATACACACATCAAATTACCCATTACCAGGTTATAGTTCAAAAAAATTAAATATTCACCATTATGTATCTACACCACAATGTAACCACCTACCATTGATATGAAAATCTACTCTACTGGAGGCCACTTCAGTCCAAAACAATATATAATATTTGTAGACTTGCACTTGAACCACGTATCGACCAGCCGGATAAACTGTATCATTATATAAAATGGTCCACGTGTCTTCAGGATTCTTTGTCTCATACTAAAATAAAAACGCCCATTGCAGCTATTGTCACAAACTGATTAATAATAACGTGACACACCTCCCTCGAATGGACAGGTACAGCAGTATCCACCCAACCGTATTTAAAGGAACCACTAGCTAAGTTATTATCGTCGTCATATAGTGTGGCTTTAAATGTTATATTTGCTCCTTTTACAATGGGTCCATTGTCGATAAGGTCTACATGATACGCCGCGACTGAAGCTGTAAAATTTTTGGTTAGATGAATATCGATTTGTGGGGGACGACAAAGCATACTTATGTAGACCAAAAGTAATATCCACAGGTTTCGATTGCCTATCGGATCGTACATAATCAGATTTGTGAAAATAAAGTCCAAAACATAAAACAGAGAAACAAACGTAGATACATCAATGTCAAAACACCAAAACACCCGATCAGAACTGTTACCAGTGACAGGACAAGTCTGCGGCAAGGCTGCCAATGCCGAGTTTGTGGCGGTATTTTCAAATAACAAATCGTAAAATACATTTCTGCAGTAATAACAGGGAAAAGATGATAGATGTGTGTGGATTCTAGTAAAACCCCTTGCATTCCTACTTTAAAGCTGTATTGCAGAATTGTTTGAAATTATTTATTTCATTTTGTACAATTTTAGATCTGGAAGTAAGTTTGGTTGCATACCTCGTCAGTTCTTAATAATAATAATAATAATGATTAGCAATTTGTTTTAATACAACATTTTATCTTGATACTTAATAAATGTAGTAAAGCTTCAATATTTCAAAAAATTAGCAGAGGCTTGAGAATCTGTTTTGTCATTATCAAGTATTATCTACGACTGTTTGAGTTGGAAATACAATTAATTGATTAGTTCCAAACATTGATTGAGACGACCATTGTAACTTCTGAAAATGGAACCTTTGTGAAGAAATTAATAATCTTTTCACAAATTAATGAAAGTCTGATTATCGGCAGAATGTTGGTAATAAAATAACCAACACAAGTCTTTGTTTGGTTATTCGGTTTGAAGTCTCTTCGTCTTTATTATTTGATTAAAACTGTCTCGTGGAATGACTATTATTTCTAAAAGTATTGTACACCAAGACGTAATTGTTTTCTAATGATAACTCCAAGATGAAACTTAATTCCATTCTTCTTTTACTGGTGTTTTACCTAGTCGTAATGAATAGTTTACAATCGGAATACACATTTCCTTTGATTTTGAGTTATTTAAAGCATTTTAATATAAAACTCTGTTACATTCTAACGTGCTGGAAAAAATATGGTACACGACTATACTATAATTTCTATTCGCATAAAAATAATAATCAGTTTTAGAACATAACACATTTACACAAATGTTGTCTCACACAGGGATTAGATGCAGTTTACCAAAATCTAATAAAACTATAAAGTTATCCTTAATGGAAAAAACGACTGTGACAACCCAGGGTTACGTTTTAGATCTATCCTGTAAAATATACAGCGATTTTTTCCTTACGCAGGTAACAAACGAGTCAATCATTGTATATTATTTCAGTAACCACTTTACTTTCACCAGGTAAATCAACACTCTATGAGAAAATGGTACCCCTGGTTAATATTTCTAAATCATTCAGAATTCTCAAACTGGCGAACTTTTTTCAAAAATGATAGTTTCAGAATGGATTCAAATACAAAATTAGCAGTGTCAAACGAAAACAAGACACAGTTTCACATTTTCAACATATACAATCCAGGTTTTCAAGTTGGAAGTAAGCCAGTCATTACGAAATATGGTTTCTGGAATGGGTCACATATGACACTTTTTAATAAAAATCTGACTTTCTACACTCAACGAAAAAATATGACTTCTGTACAATTACGTTCCGGGAGTGTAGTGCTGGTGGCAAATTATACAGGGACTTTTGAAGAGTACATGTTAAATGCAAGACAGACCGAATTTGATACCATGAGCAAGTTTCATTATACAATGTTTCTTCTTTTGGAAGATGTCCACCAGTTTTCGTAATTTCGACACAATTGAAGAATCACTTAAGTTAAGTAGTACGTTCCAGGCATAGCGTTATAGTTGAAGATAAGTGGTTTGGAAATTACCAAAATGGTACTGACGGAGGTGTGGGGAAGCTCTTGTATGACAATGAAATTGATATTACCTGTACGGGGGCTTCGCAAAGACCGCCTCGGGTGGACGTTTACGATTATATAATGCCCTCGTATCACTTTAGGTAGTCGATACACTTTTTTGGTGAATATTTCTAAAACGGTATTTGTTTAGACCATGCTACATCTTCAGGAATCCAGGGTCCTATGATCCATTTTCGGCTGAATTTTTAAAACCGTTTTCCTCAAAAGTCTGGTACAGTATCGTGGCTGCAGTACTTGTTATCAGCATTTGTTTGAAACTTTTTTATCGAACTGAACGAAAATTCACTAGATCTAAGTCAAAATATTCGTGGGCAACTGCTATTTTGACAACCGTTTCTGTGATATTTCAGCAAGGTTTACAAACTTGTGTTTTTTTACCTTATATTAGTGATTCTTTTTAGATTCTTCTGCATTTCCACCAGGCAACGCAGGTCGCATTGTCTTTCTCGTTCTCCAAATTTTCTCAATTTTGCTCTACAACTACTACACTTCCAGTATTATTTCTTCTCTGTTGAGCAAACCCCCTGAAGCTTTCCATACGCTGGATGAGTTAGGACACAGTAGTTTGGAAATAGGAATCGAAGATTTGCCGTACACGCTTACTTGGTTTGAGATAATGAACGACAGTGATGTTCAATACATTTTCAAACATAAGGTTTTTCCTCCGGGTGCTCAAAATTTGAACATTTACGAAGCAGAGGAAGGTATAGCTAAAGTCGGTAGAGGTGGTTTTGCCTATCATACACAGTTAGATACTGGGTATCCCATTATAGCCAGAACTTTTGACCAAGACGCCATTTGTGACGTAACTGAAATTCCAATGATTCCTCAAGTTGAAGCTGGAATGATGGTACAAAAAAAATCTCAGTACAAAGAATTGTTTCAAATAACTTTGCGTCAAATGAAACAAGTTGGCTTGATTCAACGTATCTCGCAGATCTGGGAGGCAAAAAAGCCGCAGTGTTTATCGAGTGCTAGAGTTATTGCAGTTGCATACAATCAAGTTTTTATGGCATTTCTGGCACTATTTCTGGGAATGTTAGTTTCAGTGGTACTTTTGGTAATTGAAATTATTTGGTTTAAGTTAGATTTAAGCAACTAGATAGGAAAGAACTAGAGTAAATTCAGAAACAACAAGATGGTCTTCGGGTAGTTTAAAAAGTAGAGCAAAGTTCATCACAGTACCTATTTTTAATATTATCAGTTGCTGGGTAATAATACGTCAAACAATATTAACGAAAGTTAATTTGTATACTACAGTTTTTGTCTTTTGCAAAAAACTGTATTTTAAACATGTCCTTAGAAAATACGCAAGCAGAACCAATTCAACCAGATTCCGCCGAAACTGAAATACGATATGATACCACAGAAAATCCAACGGAATCTGAATCTGTTGACGTTGTAGCTTCAGAAGCCGCAGAAATTCAAGAAAATACATTACAACTTGATCAGGTCCAGTCAGAAGACGGTATAAAGGATGACGCTGAAGTTCAAGAACACCTTCAAATAGACCAGAAAGAGAATGAAGAAACTTCTGATGAAAATATCGTAGAAAAACAAGATGCTGAAGAAGTAAAGGAAGAAAATGAAGGATCTACGGAAGAAACAAGAGACGAAACGACTTCAGGAGATTTTGAACCAACAGCACCAACCTCAACGGGCCTTGCAGAAATGTATCTTAAATTAATAGAACAAGAACAAGAAGAAGGAGAAGAAGAAGAAGAGGAAGATGAGGTGGGGCTAAAAGTAACATTGGAAAAAACGGAAAGGAAAAAATCCAAGGTGTTTAGACGAAGTACACTCTCCAGCCTTCAATTAGAAACTCGAGGGCCGACTATTAGCGGCGACTTTCTGCCTTTGGGAGCAAGTAGGTCAACGTTAGAGACAGTTTCTGTCATTTCATCAGTGGACAGGAAACTAGATGACCAAGAAGACAAAGAAGATAGAACGAAGGAAGAAGAAGATACAGAAAAAAAAGATGAAGAACCTTCGATTTTTATGGAATATACTAGAGAAGAATGTTACGAAATGTATAACAACCTCCACGAACAATACCACGAGGAAAAACTGAAAAATAACTTTCTACTTAAAAAATTAGTAAATTATTACACACACAAAAAAATGTTTCATGTGGTAAAAGAAGGTAAACTAAAACCTGACGCTTTGACGAAATACAAGAAACAGTTGGATGATTTTGAACAACTGACAACTGACAGACTGTTAGAACACATGGACATAGAGCAAGAGGTGAACAATCTGAAAGCAAAACTTCTTCAAAAAGAAAACGAAGCACAAGCTCGCTTCGAAAATTTGCAGCGCAAGGAGTACGAGGTAGGAAAAGAAATAGTAGATTCAGCCAACCATGACGAAAGACTTATTGATCGTTATTTGAAACGTCAAAAGATTCAGCTGAATATCCTCAAAAAGACTCGTCTAGGTTACATAAAAATCCGCAATAAAGTAACGAAGATACAGGAATCGTTGGATTCTCTTGACAACCTCGGGCCTAATCTCCGTCTTGTGGATTATGAGCAGTTAAAGCACGACAACAAAAATCTTATGGATAAACTTGACGAAAAAGATCTGGAGCTTACTAGAGTGAGAAGCAAGTGTCAGCATACGGCTCAAGCCTTGGCTCATCGAAGAGAAAAAGTGTCTGCGTTGGAAGCAGACCTAGACGATATGAAAGAGACGCTAGAGCGGCTTACTGGAGAACGAGAAGATGTCAGGCAACAACTAAATGAACTTAAACAGAATAGAGACTTATACCGGTTTGGTATTGAAAACATTAAAAAGAATGCGGGTATACTTTCCCAACCGAAGCTGTGGCGAAATATGTGTGAGACACTCAAACTAAGCGTATCTCTAGCAAATGAATTAGAAGAAATTAAAAGTGAATGTAAAGTGTTAAACGGAAAGGTTGAGAGAATAAGAAAAAACATGAGTTCAGTCGAGAGAATGAAGAAGATTGAATACAAAATGAAAATGGGCGAGAGTCCACCTAGTTCCGATATGTTTTTGGACACTTTTAGTTTTAGTACATCGAATAGTAACCTAAACTGAACACTGGTGAATAAGGACAAGAATGTTTTGGTTTAGCTGATGAATTTTACACATCAGAAAAAACACAGAACTGTAGTTCATATTTTGGAAAAATGTACATAGTATTATTTTTTATTTATATGTAAAGCAGTGTATATGTTTTCGAATAAAATATTAAACATAGATAACACTTGATTATGCTGAGTGACAAAAGTAAAAAAATATCAGTAGCTGTTGTTTTCTATTTAAATCCAATTATTGCTAAAACTGCTGAAGATAAATGTTTGTAATGACTTTTTCAATTGATTCATTTTTCGCCAAGTTTTTAAAGCCGTTTTGCTCAGCAGTCTGGTACAGTATCATCGCTGCAAAAGTTCTTCTAAGCATGTATCTGTAAACTTTTTACCGAACTGAAAGAAAATTTACCAGATCTAAGTTAAAATATTCGTGTGGAACTGCTATTTTGACATGTATTTCTGTAATATTTCAGCAGGTTTTTTTTATCAGTTTTTGTAGTTGGCGTATTATTTGTTTTCTTTTGGATAACCCACCTGAAGCTTTTCAGATGGTAGATAAATTAGGACACAGTTAGTAGTTTGAAAATAGAAATCGAAGATCTGCAGGACATTCTAACTTTGAAGTAATGAACGACAGTGATCTTCAATATATTTTCGAGCACAAGGTCCTTTAAGTTGGCTCGATTCATCGTATCTCAGACATCTAGGAAAAGAAAAAGCCTAACTGAATGTTTATAAACTGGTAGAGTTAGTGGCGTTGGATTCAATCAAGTTTTTTTTTATTTATGGTACTGCTTACGGCATTTTACATTTAATGGTCTTTTGCTAACTGAAATTATTAGCAATTTATAAACAGTAGAAAAACTATTAGGCGTTCAACTGCAAAAGTCGTCCAGTTGGCCTTGACTTATTGTAAATGTTGTGATAACTCAAACGTCCCGCCATAATTTGATATGTCAACAAAATTTTAAAACCCGCGAAAAATTCAGAATTTGAACTGTGATCGTCAACGAAAATGGAAACTTACATCGTTGTTTTTTTATGGCGAAATGCGTTCAAATGCAAAGTAGTGAACCTTACGGTCGGAAAACCGCCCCTAAATGAAACACAAAACAATTAAAACAAACCATTTTTTATTCACTAACAATTATATGCATATGATAACTGATGTTGAACAATTTTCTTAATTTCAAATTATTGAAATTCGATTTCGTGTTCGTTGTTTTTTTAGCGCGAAACTTGAATTCAAAATGGGACACCACAAGGTCTATGATGAACTTAAAATTTAATCGATGATATATATAGCTAGCAACGGAATGATAACTTAACCTCATTTTTTCGGATAATAAAATTAAGGCTTTTTAACAATTCTATCAAATGACAGTTATATACAACGGCATGGATTATTAAAAACTACACATCACTACAACTCATCACGCTACCAATTTTTAATGATATGGTTGCTGGGTAATTATACGTCAAACAGTATTAACAAGAGTTAATTTCTACATTACAATTTTTGTTTTTTGTGTAAAACTTTATTTTATACATGTCCTCAGAAAATGTGCAAGCAGAACCAGTTGAAACAGAAACAGCTGAAACTGAAAAACCAGTTGAGACACAAACCTCTGAAACTGAAAAACCTGATGAGACACAAACCGCTGAAACTGAAAAACCAGATGAGACAACAGAAAATCTCGTGGAGGGTGAAGCTGCTCAGGCTGTAACGTCAGAAGCAGAGGAAATTCCCACAGAAAGTGGTGAAGTCGATTTAGAACTAAATATTATTGATGATCCAGTTCAAGAAGATACCCAACCTGATCAAGTCCAGCCAGCAGATGACGCACTAAATGACGTTAAAGATCAAGACGAAAGTCAAACAGAAGAGAAAGAGGATGAAGAATCGCCCGAGAAAACTATCGTAGAAAAACAAGATGCTGAAGAAGTGAAGGAGGAAAGTGAACAACCTATGGAATATACAGAGGATAATTTTGAACTATCATTAGGAACCCCTACGGATCTTGAAGAGATTTATTTTAAACTAATAGAAGACGAAGAAGCAGAAGAGGAAGAAGATGAGGAGGGGGCAGCAGCCATGGCAGTTTCACAAGAACGATCGGAAAAAAAGAAGAAGAGAAAGTCTAAGAGGTTTAGAGGAACTGCAATGCCCAGCCTTCAGTTAGAAGCTCCACGGTTGACCATTACAGGCGACTTTGAGCCATTGATGCCACGTAGGTCAGTAGAAACACTTTCCGCTGCTTCGACAATGGCGAAAACTGATGACGAAGAAGGGGGTGAAGAAGATGAAGAAGTATCTGATGAAGAAGAAGAGTTAGAAGAAGAAGAACTTTTGGTGTTTAACGAATTTACTAGAGAAGAATGTTATGAAATGTATAACAACCTCGACAAACAATTTCACGAGGAAAAACGGAAAAACACCTACCTACTCAAAAGATTGGTAAATTATTACACACAGAAAAAAATGTTTCATGTTATTCAAGAAGGTAAACTACCACTTGACGTTTTGAAGAAATACGAGAAACAGTTGGATGATTTTGAAGACTTCACAACTCAATTTAGGTTAGCACAAGCGGACTTGGAGCAAGAGGTGAACAAATTGAGGTCAACACTTGCTCACAAAGAAAACGAAGCACAAACTTGCTTCGAAAAATTGCAGCGCAACGAATATGAGGTAGGAAAAGAAATATTAGATTCTGCCGGCCATGACGAAAAAGTTATTGACCGTTATTTGAAACGTCAAAAGGTTCAGCTGAACAATCTGAAAAAAATTCGCCTAGATTATATAAAAATCCGAAACAAAGTGACGGAGACACAGGAATCGTTGGATGCTCTTGATAACCTAGGACCTAATCTGCGTCTCATTGATTATGAGCAGTTAAAGTTCGACAATAGGAATCTTTTAGACAAGCTTGAAGAAAAAGATCTCGAACTTGCCAGGGTGAGGTACAAATGTGAAAATGCGGTTCAAATCTTGGCTCATCGAAGGGAAAAGGTCGCTGCGTTGGACAGAGACTTAGAGGTTATGACCGACAGGCTGGAGAACCTCACTGGTGAGTACGAAGATGTAAGGGAACAACTAAATGGGCTTAAACAAGAAAGAGACTTATATCGGTCTGCTACTGAGCAATTGAAGAAAAAGGCGGGAATACTTAGTCAACCGAAACTCTTGCAAAATATGTGTGAGACAATCAATTTAAGCGTATCTTTAAAGGAAGAACTGCAACAAGTTAAAAGTGTATGTAATGTGATAACCGAAAAGATTAACAAAATAAGAAAAAACATGAGCTCGAACGAAAGTATGAAGAAAATTGAAAAGAAAATGAAAATGCAAGAGTTTTCATCTGATTCCACGACTTCCAGTATTAGCACATTGGGTAGTGACCTAAACTTGAACACTGGTTAATAAGAAGTTGGTTTAACTGAGGAGGTTTTATGCATCAAGAAAGTAGAACTGTGGCTCACATGGAAAAAATGTAGTATTATTTTTTATTTTTATGTCAAGCAGCGTATATTAATATTATTTTAAATAAAATGTAAATTTTAAAACAGCACTATAATTTTGCACGAAACGCATTACCGGGATCAAAATCTGTCGGCGTCTCCTAGAAATAAAATTAAATTTAATAATATTATAATTATTTGACATTTGATTTTTTTTCAACGGTTTTGTTATGTTTTTATTTTTATAAAGTATGTCTTTAGAAGTAAATACAGAAATTGTTGCAACGACTGACAATCCTGGAGACATCTCTTCATTAGAAAACGCAAACGAGAAAAGTGAACGCACATCAACTGAGGAAACTGAGCCAAAATCGACTATAAAAGATGAAAGTGAAACTGAACAAGCTAATCTGGCGGCAGAAACAGCACCAAATGAAGAAGATACAGACGAAACACCAGCCGAGCTACCACAGGAAACTAAAGAGTCCGCAGAAATAGAAGAAAAAGTGGAGAGAGGAAGTGACGTCGTGGAAGGAGTGACCGAAGATAAAACCCAAAATGCAGCTGAAGAAGGTGAGGTCATGGAAGGGATGACAGAAGATAACAGTCAAAATGCAGCTGAGGAAGGTGAGATCATGGAAGCGGTGACAGAAGATAAAAGTTTAAAGATTAGCCTTGCTGGAGAAACAGAAAAAAGTGAAAGCATAAATCCATCTGTAGGTGAGAGTGTGGATATTAAAGATTTTGCAAATCTTATAAAAAGTGACTCAGCGGAGTTGCTAACTGAAGATGATGGTCAAAAGGAAAAAGATGCAGATGAAGCAGTTGACGAGCCTGGGTCTGTGTCTGCAGATATCTCACTTGTTCCTGACGCCCGTCATGGACCCAGTTTTTTGGGTGAAATAGATCTCTCATCCGAGCACCCGGTGATTTCTCCCCCAACTTCTACCGCAGGTTCATCAGACTCTGAACTCTATTCCACACCAGAAAAATCTGTAAAACTGTCCTACCGTGAATATGAAACAGTCGATCGAAATCTTTATTACGAACTTCACGCATTGTATACAAACAAATATAGAACTGCGTATACAAAAAACCACTATTATCAAACACGGTTAGCAGCGTATTACTTGAAACGTCGAATGTTTTATGCGCTAATGACAGACAAACAAACTTATGACGAAAATTTGAAAAAATACCATCAGTTGCTGGGCGAATTAGACGCTAAAAGTGAACAATCGTTATCGCAACAATCAACTCTAGAACGAGAAATAGCAGGGTTGATAAATCATCATCAATTCCGAAAAGAAGAAGTTAAACTCTGTTTGGAGAACCTACAAAAGAAAGAATTTGAGTTCAGTAAGGAACTAATAAATGCAAAAGATGAAGAGGGCAAACTCAAAGCGGAAAAAATTGTTGAACGTTATGTAAAGCGCCAAAAAACTGTCATCGACGCCCTCAGTAATATGCGTCTGACTTATATAAAACTAGTTAACAATTATAATGAAAAACAAGACATGTTGGATTCTTTGGATAATCTAGGGCCAAATCTCCACCTTGCAGACTACGAACAGTTAAAATCTGATAATAGAAATCTGCAGGATAAACTAGAGGAAAAAGAACTCGAATTAGACGAGCTAAGAGCGCAGTGTCGACATGTGATGCAAGTCTTGGCCCATAATAGGGAAAAACTAAAGGCTATAGACAACGGAATTGGGGATTATCGCGATAGACTCGACGAGATTACTGCCGATTACCTCGATGCACGAGAACAAGTTACTGGAATTAGGGCTGAAAGAAACAGACTCCGTAATTTGATTATCCAAATGAAAGAAGATTATGGCTTGCTTTTGAAACCCAAACTTTTGATGGATATGGAGGAATCTTTACAACAAGCGGAAGCGCTTAGGGTGCAAGTAGAAGAATATAAAGAAGATTTTGATGAAATTTCTAAGAGGCTGAACGAAATAAAATTGCAAGCGTTAAATAAGGCTGAGAAGAGTTCGAGTCAGACGTCAGAATTGTGACCTTTTCTTATCGTATAAATGTCGTATAATGTAGGTATTAGTAAATCCTAGCAACAAAAGTATCGTGTATTTACTGCAGAAACAAGATCTCTTTCCATAAATGACACTAAACTTAAATGATTAGACCAGAAATATTGATTATTATTTAAAACTTTTGAAGATGAACAAAAAACATAATTTATAGCCAGTTTTAAGTTTCTTGTGATCTTTTATAAACTTGGAAAACTCAGTGCATCAACCATTTTTGTTTAATATTTTATTATGACAGTAATAACATTGTAGCGGCACGATTTATGCCAAGTGATTTCGTACCACCGATTACGTTCTTCTTTCTAAATGCAATGTATGCATTATCCATTGAGAGAAAATTCAAACAGAATGCACTGCTTGCATTAACGTAATCGGTGGTATGAAATCACTTAGCATCAATCGTGCCGCTACAATGTTATTAAGTACTGTCCTAATAATATATTAAACGAAAATGGTGGAGGCGCCGGGTTTTCCAAAGTATAAACTATATACAAGAAACTTAAAATCATTGTGGTCGCGGTTTGTTGAACTCATTCTTTTCAATATTAAAATGTATTATATTTAACACACTATCGTATTTTTTTATAATGAAATTAACGTGGTTTTGTTGTGTTATTGTGTCTTTCACCAATAGCAGTGAATCACAGAAATTTATAAAACTAGACGTAGTTACAGATTATTTTACTTACAATGAAATGAATCATTGTTATCTCATTGGCTTGTCATCAAAAAAACGTAAGTCGGTAGTTATATCTGTCTAAGAGTGGAAATTTTATATTATAAGTTGATATTATTACCAGCTAATTATTATTATTTTTTATAAAACATTATTAAATTTATAAAATAAGAATAATAGAAGAATTGTAATTACCGATTTCTTATAATCATGATAACTTTAATACAGTATCTGCAGAATATCCAGTATATCAGCCAATTATTTTGTTGGTTTCTAAGTTAAATTGTAAAATTTTGTTGCGCAATTTGGATTTTTTTCAAAAAACTATACGCATAAGGGTGATAATAGAGTTGATAGTTACAGGTCTAGAAACCCATTATTTGGCATATTAGGTCACCATTTTGTGGAAGGGATGATTAGACAAATTTTTGTGTGTTACCATCTTCACGATATTCCTAGACACATCCAAAATTTAATAACAATCAGCGCAGTAGTTTCAGAGATCATTTGCCTAATGATAAGTAAAAACGGGCTAAGTAATATTTTAGTGTTGTTTTTAAACCGGCTGCTGTCAAAAAATATCAGACGCTAGAAACTAACCAAAAACCATAAACAATTTTCTCCATTATCTAAAGTACTTCTAACTTCACACACAAGTTGTTATAAAAAATAGATGTAGATCCAGCAAGTATTATATATTTTTTTTTTAGAAATTATGTACAGGACTGCTAAATGTCAACTAAAATATAATTATTCGTTTAACATTGTAGATTTTTCTTTTAGTTTCAGAGCCTAACCTAACAAAGAAAGTATTTTAATAGGGCCGGCGAATGACTAGTTTCATGTTTTCGTACGTTTTATCACCCGTAGAGTATGAAAAAATAAATCTGCCATTTCCGTCTGTCTGTCTATCGTCTGCATCAATTTTTATAGATGTTGTAAGAATATCATGCAGATGGTAAAATATTAACAAAAATTTGTCTGAGCATCCCCACCTACAATTTGATGATGCCATCCCAAAATTTTGGGTGGTAAATTCTATTTAAAAAATAAATAACATACTCCTGTACTTATAGTATATGAATCCGCCCAGATTTCTTTATCCTAGACATACAAAAAAATTTAAACTGAATAACAACATTTTGTAGTAAAACAAGAGTCAGCCAGCGCATAGCTCAGAACTCAAATTTTCTATGTATATTAAGAACATCATTTTGATGACAACCAAAATTTGGCTACTTCTCCCCACCAACAAACTGCTGACGTTCGCTAATTATATTGCGTAACTAGTGTTATCTAAATGTTATAAAATAAACTACTCCTATACTTGTGGTTTACGAATCTACCTTGATTGTGTTTGTTTGTTTATTGTTTTTAGACACATAGTACTAAGCATGGTTCATTGGTAGCGCACTGTTCACTCCATTGTCTCCAAAAATTTAAGAATACAGTAATGTCACCCCGCTCATATTAAATAATAATAAAATAGTAATCGTAACAACAGCTAAAATTATATTCGGTCCGTTTTGTCCCATTTGTAACTGAATTAATTAAATTATTCCTCCCCCTATTTTGGGGAGACAAAAACAATTCAATTTCATTTTATTTTAAGGCAGATGCTTATTATCGGAACGTACTAATAGTCGAATTCTTTCAAAGTATAAACATATAACATATACAACAAAAGTTATGCATTTCTGAGATATTGAGAACAGATGTTTTCCCCTTGTCGAATTTTTTCGAAGCATAAACATAAACAGTCGAATTTACGCACGTACTGAGAAATTGAGAACACATTTTTCCCGTCGGTTATCTGGTTTAAATATATTCCATATGGTAAAAATGGCAAAATCTACTTTTATAATTTTTCAAAGAAGCGGGATTTATTGGATTATACTGAAAGGGGGAGGAATGTGCTGTGAAAATAAGAGTAAAATAACCTTCGAACAATTTTTTACGTGTAGAGGTTATTAGTGTTATCACAATAAATTAAAATAGCACAAAATCAAAATGGACAAAGTTAGCTTTTTAGAAAAGTTTTAGTGTGCTAATAAGGTCAACAATGACACTGTAAAAATGACGAATTTTTCCTAAAAAAAATCTCTCTTCTATAGAAAAAGAATAAAAAAAAACATTTCAGAAAATTTTTCTTTCGTTGAAAGTAGCGTTAATCAAGCGAAAATCCATATTCCTCTACAAAAATTTACGATTATAACATATTGAATATATAAGCCCCACCCACCCACCCTCATCTCAATTCTGATGAATTTTTCATTTGTTGTCAGACCCAGGGGCGGCTCGTGATTGCAAAATCCATATTTGCCTACAAAAATTTACCATTTAGAACAAGTTTTAAGTTATTTTGTTGTGAAAAGAAGACTATGATATACAGCGTGTTATTGAAAGGTACGTACAAAATAAAATCGGGAATAAAAGTGTTCTCTTTTTCGAGATAAAAATTATTATGTCCAAATTCGTTGTACGTCTCTAGTCAAAAAAATCATCTCTTGTTTCTATAGCAACATTTAGTCTTGACAAAAGTTTTATTGTTACAGTTGCTAGGATTTACTAAAATAAATTAATTTTACCTATTTATCCTTCAGTAGCGTCTAAAAAGATTGGATAAAGGTTCATTCTCCCCTTATAACTTTGATAATACAACATAAGTTTTTCAGACTTCTTAGACTTCGCGAAGAACTGTCAATTTTGTTGTACGTACCTTTCAATAACACCCTGTATATTAAGAAAATCAAAGCAAAATGCAAACCCGCCCACCCGCCCTAACTCAATTGTGATGATGTTTTTAATTCGTCGTGAACCGGGGGCGGAGCTCAATTGCAAAATTTTTATTTTTCTTCAAGAAATTACCGTTTGAAACAAGTTTTTCAGTAATTGTGTTGTTCGAAGAAAACTATATGTCTAAAGTAAAACAGAAAGCCAAAGATTAAATCCCACCTACACCCGCCCCGATCTGAGTTGTGATGAATATTTCATTCGTTTTCAGACCAAGGGGAGGAGCATAATTGCAGAATTCAAATTTCCCTACAAAAATTTACTATTTTGAACCAGTTTTAAGTTTTTTGTCTTAAAAAAATCAGGCGAAATGCAATTTTTGTTTATTCAAATATGTGGAATGTTTTGGACGCACTCTACACCTAAAAATCAAGGCCACTAATCCAAACGCTAACCGACTTCATTTATTAAAATGTCAGTTTTAAATTAATATAGAGAGAGATCGAGAAAGAAAGAGAGAGATGTTATGTAGAGAGGGCAGTATTAGAGACGGATCATTTTAAGTTCAACATGGTGAGTCATCAGAATCTGACAGCGGACTGTCAGTCAGTAGCGCAACATGTACAGGGGATGTTTTTTTTTTAATTTATTTCGTTTTTTTAAATCGCAAACAACACGGGGAAACATAACTTAAGTGAACTGGTCAACACACTAGCACCAATGCGAATGAATCTATTAGGCACTAATCTGAACAGGTACCCTTACGCTATAAAAGTTCACTATGACAGAGAAACGATGACGGGCGCCTCTGAAGGTGATTTTGTGCTTCTACGCAGTTTTACACCTGTGTTGATCTTAGAGTCCACGATGTCTACATTATTCAAATTACTTTTTATATTTCCAGAAAATATTGAATTAGCTTCAGCTTTCCACAAGAAAAATATCAAAATAGCATTTTTAAGTGAAAAATTTACCAACAACACTATAATTAATTCCCCATGTATCTTAACAGTGTTAACTGATGAGACCCTAAATCTTTGGAAGATGGTAACGTGCAGTATATTTATGTATGTTTTTACTAAAATAGATTTTTCAGAAACTGTTTTACAATATTTTGCAAAACTTTGAAAGTGTAAACTTTGTGTTGGTATTAGATTCGTTTCACAATTTAAACAATTTGGTTAAAATTTTTGAAAAAAATACCTTCACAGTTGGTTGTAAGGTTACCGTTATTTTAAAAAGTGAGGATAAATATCAGTTCTTAAATTGTTATAACGGTACAAATTACGTTATTCATCAAAACGGAGTTTGGACAACGAAATACTTTTATTTAACGAATAATACGTACCATGAAGAACAAAAGAAGCTGACAGACATCAAAATAAGGGTAACTGAATTTGAACAAGTTTGCAATTTAACAATACCATGTGTTTATCGTTTCAGGCTTTTACACGTTACAAACCTCAAAAGTTGTTGGACATTGTAGTAGAACCACAATTAGTAGTGGATAAGTTTCATTACAGTTTATTTTTGTTACTACAAGAGCTTCATAATTTCTCGTAAGAAACACTTATAATTAGGTCTTCTGTTTTCGTCTGCCTGTGTTTTGTTGGACTGTTGGTTATTTTTAAGTTTACCTCCAAAACCTGATCCCAAGAAAAAAATACTATCACTTTGAATTTCCAGATACATTTTGACTCCATTACCAAAACGAAATAATGCGGATCATGAAAATACCAAAAGCAGCGGATTTTTTTTAACCGATAACAACGACATTATCATCAGCGGTATATTGCTTACTCCTTCCAAAGTTGACCAGTTTGATATTCTAGTACCACTTTTCAAATTCAAGTAATTAGTACATCTCTCGCCTCTCACATAGTCACATACAACTAAAATACGTTTCTTGCTAGGACAAGTTTCTTTTTTCTACAACCCAAAAAATCAACCGTTTCTTTTTTAAAGCCATTTTCACTTGCTACTTGGAAGTTTACGTTGCTGTTGTCTTTGGTGATTACAATATGTCTTAAAATCGCCCTACACCTGAGTAAAGCCGACGAAACGTCTTGGATTTTTTCTGCAATGGCAGTTTTCTCAACACTATGCCAAGACGGAGATGGTTCTATAAGATCTAACATTCTATGCAATTAATTAACATACACTTGTAGATCCTTCACCCGATAAGCGAGACATTGGATGTAAAATAATATTCTTCAGTTTATTAATAATGTCTTTACTGTTATTCAACTACTACACGTCGAGCATGGTCTCACTATTACTCAGTGAAGAAGTTGATACTAAGCACACCATAGAAGAGCTCACACGATCAAATTATTTGGTAGCAATGGATAATCACTCATACACACTGAAATGGATGACTAGTCCCAAGACTACTGACATTCAGAATCTATACCATACAAAAATAATTAATAATAATAAATCTTTGAACATTTACTCTTCTAGGGATGGATTTAAAAAAGTGGGTTGCGGTGGTTTTGCGTACCACACTGATGTCTTCACGGCTTACAGCATTATTGGAAAATACTTTGCGCAAGAGCAAATTTGTCATCTTTCACAAATGCAGATGATTCCTCCTGTTATGACAGGACTAGTGACAAAAAAATCTTCACAGTTTTCTGAGTTGTTCCGTATTAGGTGAGTAGAACCGTCGAAAATAAAGTGAATTTGAGTGGCAATGAAATATTTGGATATTGACAGATGTGGTATCAGTGGTACCACCCATATAAATTGTCATGTAGCCAATTCTATTTCGTTTCATTTTCGACTGTACGGTTGTTTCAGTTTGTTGAAGTTAAACGAAGATGGCCTAGTCAACAAATTGCTAAATTCTTGGAAAGTAATACGACCTGAATGTTATGCGTCCACTGAATTTATTCCATTGGGGATGGAGCAAAGTTTGCCAGCGTTGATTTTTTTGTTGGTGGGAATTTTAACGTCGTTCTTAATACTGGGTGTTGAAGTAGTTCTGTTTGAGAAAAAGTCGGACTAAATAAGTAGAAAGCATTTAATTTGATTTACTTTATATTTAATCTTCTATAATTATAATTGTTAACAGTAAACCATAAAATAAAAATAAGGAATATCTTTAAGGGACAATGGAATTAACAGCTATATTAATTAATAATGCAATGTAATGGAAATAATGTAACAAATATCTATGATGAGAACGCGCCTGAAATAAAATATTTCTTTAAGTAGCACATTAAATAACATTTTATTACAAACATATAAATTGGAAATTATTAGATTGAACACAGTTAGAAACGTTTTTGGATCAATTACATGTCATGTACAGTAAAAATATCAGTTTTCACAAGGCAACTAAATTTAATTAAAATTAAAATGTGCTAATGGATATGGCACAAAATACATGACAATAAATTGAAAATTTTGTAATCGATCTACCAGTCTTTTTTAACCATTTGTTTTAACAAATGAGACTAACATTGCAAATTGGTGTAAAGGTATTAAAACACCAAAACTGATTTAGACTAAGTCGCTATTTCCGTATACTAAAATGATGGCTTTGTACAAAATTATTTTCTAATTTGATAGTTATTACTTGCTTTCCTATTTGATGTCTTCAGTACAAGATCTATCTATTTACATTCAACAAACACATACTGATAAATCAAACACGCAATATAGCAACCGAATATAACATTTTTGATTTATATATACTCCCCAACTCATGACTAATTGCTTAAAAAGTATTGCCTCATTCGGAAGGTTACATTTTTGCCAGACTCAATCGAAAAAGTAAAAGAATCACCCCCTGGACACCTCGTTCGGGACCAACCCCGTCTATCAAATCGAAATAGAAATTAGGCGAACAGTACCAGCTGAAATACGAGCGAAAGCTAGAATTACACCTTAAGAAAAATGAGTTTTACAATCTTTACAATATAAAAATTCTATCTAAAAATATTTACAAACTTTGTTTGTAATCGGAAATAAGGAATTCTATTTACACAATAACTTAGGAAACTAGTAACGGAAAATTACTACTAAATAGTCAGTTCTATAAAATAAACACGTTAACAACGAACGCGACCCCGCAGGGGTCGTTTTCGTGGTCGAGGCTTTCGACAACTAAAATTAGAAAAAAGAGGCTCAGTCTTATTCTTCCAGTTACTGTTGCCTTTTCTCTTCTTCCAACATCGCGTCTAATTCGTCAGTTAAGTTGGCGAGCATGTTACCTATATCATTAAGAACATCGGCAGGTTCGGATCTCTGATTTCTGGCACTTGGTTGTCGGTTGGGCGTCGGGGACGGATGGGGCGGCAGGCCGGAGCGCGGTTTTGCCGGCGATGAGTAATCCGCTGGCCGGTTGTTGCCGCCTGCGCGAGTTCGAATTGTTCCGGCGTTTTCATTGGCAAATGGCAGCGAATCTGACTCTGTACTGGAACTCGACTGCAACGAGAAAAACACAGTTAATCACAAACATCAAACTCTGACAACAAAACGATCCACAACGAATTTTTGACCAAACAAACACGCTTTTTACTTAATGGATATTGTTTTTTGTTCAATTTCTGTTCTACTTTATTTACATCTGTATCCTACAGGCTGCTCCAAATATCATACCTATGTTACATTGCGTTCAATTTTAACCAAGTTGTTATAAGAAATGTATATGGTGGTGAACAAGAAAAGAACACTTGTATATAAAATTGTTTTTTAGATATTTTTTTGCTAATCCTTTAGTACACTTTTTTAGTTTCTAGGTTTCTAGGTTTTGGGGCTTCTGTCATTGTGTCATTTTATGTTGACACTTAAACGTCAAAGTTACTGTTGAGACTGTTGAACTTTTTTACGATTTTATGACAAGTTAGACTGTTCTTGTTTACTCTTCACACGTATTTCATAGCCATATTTAAAAGTCTAACCTGGCAGCTGCCATTAATACCCTACTGATAAGTGATTGAAGTTCTTAGGAGTACTAATTACCATTAATTCTAACACTGTCAGTACATTTCGTAAAACATTTTCTTGTAAATATTGATGAATCCATTATTTTACTATAAACAAATTTTAAAACACCTTTTTTCGAAATTTTATTTAAAACACCAACGTGTACGTTAATTTTGTTTGATTTTCGACAAGGATCTCAATTGCTACCTATTCTTTTTTCTTACTTGATTAAAGATCACTTGCAAATAAACTTATAAATTTTCTGTCAAATCATTCAGGTAAGCACTAGACTTTTCGCGTTACTTTTCTAGGTTCAGTCAGCCAATGAGTTTACGGTTTTGGCAACAATAGAATTACTATGGTTATTTTACAGAAATCGACATCGATTTAAAAATTTGAATTTAGCGGTTTTACTTGTATTCAAAGTTCGCTGTTCTAATCGAGTAACAATTCAAAGGTTAATAATCTATTTCTACGACTATTAATCAAATTAAGTGCATTTAGCAAAATTCCAACTTCCGCTACAATTTACTTAATAAATCCACAATACGTATTTACTTCGATAAGTGAAAAAGTCGGCTGTTTCGGAAACATGAACTTCGCTAGTTTCAATACCTTCTAGAGTAGAAATTCTACGAGAAGAACATGTTGTCATCACAATCTGTCACGTATTCGCATTCATTTGAGTTCTGAAATATATATGAAAATATTTTTTTAGATTAGGTACAGTTGTTATGTTTGTTTAGAGGCATGTAACATAACTGATATTAAAATCCACTTTCGGTAGAATACAAACCGAAACACTGTTAAATTAATAAAGAATCACACAATACGACTACGACTAGCCCAGTTTCCTCCCCTCCTTCGCAAGTCGACTCGTCCGCACGCTTTTACCAGTACTTCGACCTTTGATTAGTATTATAAAGTATTTTCAGTCCAAACTTTCGTCCTGAAAATGTATTCTATGAATTTTTGTCCTTGTAACTAGGATGTGTAAAAGTTTTGTACATCCATACATTTGTGAAATTTTAAAATGTTGCAGATGATGTGCACTTCCGTCTGTCTGTCTGTCTGTCTATCTCTACGCAGTCTTATTAGACAGATAGTCTCCGAAACTACCGGAGCGATTGTTGTCAAATTTTATACCTGTGATTGAATATCATGTAGGTGCTATAACGCTAGCTAACTAAACTGTCTTAATGATTCTCTCATTCAGGTAATGTTTTTCGAGTAAACTCGTCGAAATCTGGATTCAAAATTTTTTTGTGGATTTTTGCGAAACTTTGTCAAAAGATCAATTATTCAGTTGTGAAATTATTTAGCTTTTCCCGTGCACTTTAAAAAATTACCCAAAGAGAATTTTTTGGTTGATTTCGACTCGCAGAAGTTTTTTCGGCTTGATTTTTTCGAAAATTCCAACCATTTTTCCAAAATCACCTAAATTAAATACATATAGCCGTTTTTAAAATTTTTCAAAATTTTATTTTGAAACCAAATGTTTGGAAAATCTTGGTCGGGGGCCAACAGACTATATTTTTCGAGTAAGCTCGTCGAGATCTGTATTCCAATTTTTTCGTGGATTTTTGGTAAACTTTGTCAAAAGATCACTTCTGAAATTTTCAACCTTTTCCAGGGCACTTTCGAGACTTACCTAAAAAGATTTTTTTCTGTTGATTTCGACTCGCAGAAAATATTTTCGGCTCTAGTTTTTCGAAAATTTCGACCAACTAAATATTTTAGTTGGTCGGTGGTTTTTAAGTGTTTTTCCAATAAGCTCGTCGAGATCTATATGGCAGCTATTTATGGATTTTTGGGAAACTTTATCAAAAGATTAGTTTTGAAATTTTACCTTATTACCCAACGAGCTTCTTTCCGTTGATATCGATTCGAGGAAGTAATTTTCAGCTTCATTTTTTCGAAAATTCCAACCATTTTTACAAAATCGCCAAATTAATATAGCCATTTTTGAAATTTAATTTTGAAATCGAATGTTCCCAAAATCTTTGTCTGGGGCCATTAGAATATAGTTTTCCAATAGGTTCCTGGAGATCTATATTTCAGCTTTTTTTGTCAATTTTTGTGCAACTGTGCTAAAATCTGAATTTTTCAAAGAAATTTTTGACCCTTTTCCGAGCACTTTCGAAAATTAATGGCTATTTTTTTTTTTTTGTTAATTTCGATTCACAGAAATTATTTTTGGTTTAATTTTTTCGAAAATTAACTATTTTTCCAGAATCGTCAAAGTGAAATATGGTCGTTTTTTACATCACTTTAAAAATTCGACTTTGAAACCAAATATTTCCAAAATCTTAATCTGAAACCATCAACAAGCAATGTTTTTCGAATCAGCTCGTGTAGATTTATATCCCGGAATTTCTTCTGTATTTTTACTTCCCAAGAGTAAGCGAAGGAAGTATTGTAATCGAGTCCGTCGGCCGACTTTCTACTTTTACGTTATCTCGACCTTTTATGACTCCTAGAGTACGAAGAATGGTTATCCGTTTCCTTCTGTCTCTATCCGTCCGTCCGTCCGTCTGTCTGCCGTCCCGATAATCTCCAAAAGTACTGAGCCGATTGTTGTTAAATTTTGTATTTATATTAGGAATATCATGTAGATGGTAAACGCTAAACAAATTGTCTAATTATTATTCTCACTAACAATGCGATGACATTACCTCAAAACTGAACATAGTAAATTGGTTTCGTTTTTGAAAAAATTGTCAAAGAATTCTAAAAAATTCTGGGGCACATATTTCGTCGTGCTGATTCCAAAAATATAGCGTGTTTACGCTCCCAGTGCAAGATTTAAAAATAATCGATTTCAAAATATTTTTTCTAAAATTCGAAAACTTCTATTAATTAAAAAAAAAATCTAATTTCCAATAAAGCTGTCGATAGAACTGAAAATACATGCTGAAAGGGTCGGCAGATATATAAAACAGGTTTATCAAGCCGAGGGTTGTTAGTCATCAAATAATTTAAGCCAAAATTAATACCTCATTTGGAAATTTCTTAATTGTGCTCTTTTCAATTTTTTCCATTTTAGAGGAAATGAATATCGAAAATTTCAAAATCTTCGCACTGACTCCTGAAATAGTCAGTACATAATGAATTGAAAAACCTTACATAATTCTTATAAATCTACAAAATATGAAGATTTTTTGCCGGTTCCGAATGCTAAAAAATTTACTTTTACAAAATTTTATCTTTTTTGGAATTTTCCTCGCGTCTTAACTTAGCAAATACAAGTCCCGCCCACTCATCTCTATTTTCTTAAAAGGTATATCATTTTCCAAAATTAGTCGTATCTTAGCAACTACCAAGTCAACATTCTTTTAGTGAAGATATTGCTAGTGAAAATAGAGTTAAAGAGTTTATTTCTCAAATTTTACAACCAACAATAACACAAAAAGAAAAATTTGGAGAGAAAAAACTACAAATACTGGACGTATCCTCAAAATTGTGCACAGTAAATGGGCTTTAAAAATGCAAAACATGATAAGTGTATATTTACTTGTGATTTGTCAATGAATTCATATTTTTTAAAATTGCCTATACAGGGTGATTCAAAACAATTAATGAATAAGTCAGTTTATTTACTTACTCCATTTTCCCAAAAATAATTAAAACAAACCATTTTTATTTATTCACTAACATCTCTAACAATACTGGTATTAATAGTAGGTATTACACTGCACTTATCCGAATTGATATTTGTTTTGATTTATTGTACATCAGGGCGAGGGAAGTTCTGGCGAAATAACCTTCCACCAATTGTAGTTAAACTAAACTTTTGACATTACGTTAATTAATGAGTAATTTGTGATAAGAGTTATGCAACATTTGAAACACGTGACAAGTATAAAAAGTAACACAATGCAGAAGAGGCGGAACAGATCAGCGCACACTTTGATGCATGAATCACTTATGAAATCCCCGAATTAACTCATGTTTATTTTGTTCAAAATTACCAAATCAATTTTGATACCAAATCGTGCTTAAACACGCATCGTTCGTGCTTCAGGTGCGAGAGACTCTGTCCAAATAATTTAGATTTTTTTTTAATACAGCCAATAATATCTACCTGAATGGGTTTTGCAGCGTGAAAATTTTCAGTAAAAACCAATGAAAAGTCAATGTGTGAGTTCTAAAAATGTCACAGCTCACCTCAAATGCCATAATAACTATTTTAGAAAGTTCTAAAGGCCAACAACCCTCAATGAGAGAGGTCAATCAAAAATATATTCGTAGAAAAACCGTAAAATCGCAAACCAATTTGCAGCGCCAATGAAGAGTAATTTAACGAACTACTATGCATTGTGAACCTATCAGCGACAGTGTTTTTGTTTTATTTAACTGTTCCAACCACGTTTTTTGTTAATCAGTTCCTTTGTGAAGATTCAAAACCACTCACTTTAAAACTTGCATCGGATCCGTTTCTGTGCTGCAGCGCCAAAGTCTTGATCAACTCCTGTTCTTCAGCGCCCCACGACTGCGACGAATTCATCTTGGATTGCACGCTTCCGGGCGGAGTCCCTGGGGCCGGGGGCGGCGGCAGCGGCAGATCCCCTTGGTTATCCAACGATATGCTAAGACTATCTGAGCTGGGGTAGGCGGGAAGCGGCAAAGGACTAGACGTCTGGACGTGGTGTATCTCAACAGTAGTCGTCTGTTCGTTCCCTTCACTATCTTGTCTCTTCGGCGGATTCGGCGGAATCTTCTTACCCATCATGGGACTGTACTGTATGTGGTATTTACTCGTGTCGATCAGCTCCCTCGGCAGCGTTTTGTACTGCGGGTTGGAGTACTTTTCCGGATTGAACTGGGGTTTCTCGAAGTCGGGGAAGGTCTCTCTGGCTTTTGCCGTTATCTTGGCGATGGGCCGGGGCCGGATGACCCCGCGAGGCCTTGGAAGAGTGCCGCCGCCTTCGTACAGCAGGGCGGTTTCGTTCGTCGGGGTTATGTCGCCGTCGTCGTAGGACCGCGTCCGCCAACCGATGGGCTGCTGGTAGTAGAAGGTCTGGGTGCTGTCGCCGGTGAAGGTGTGGTGGGTTCGCTCGGTGGGGTCTTCTAGAGATTCTAAAGATTTTCCTCGACCTGTTCGGATCTGGAACAAGTTTATTTAGTCGGTTAGTGGGGTCCTCGGGCGCCACCGGGAGAACATTAAGTATGGTAATGTAGTGTCATGTCATGAAATAATAATTACAAGTAATTTCTCCAATTTTCGCGCGGTACTCTTTCACTAAGTGAACGAACCATGATGGCACACAAAGAATCCGCTTGTGATTTATGCGCTGTCTACAATTTTCATAGTTTCGTGATGAATGACGTTAATATGAGTTTAATGTGATGTAGATAGTTGAAAAATGAATGTGATTCAGAAATTTCTACGGCAGGAAATTTTAAATTACCCAAGCTCGGAAGCCGAGTTATGAGCTTGCGTGAGCTAACTTTCTGTATTTGATTCTCCAATTCGACAAGGAAAGTTACTGCTGAAATTCAATTTCGAATTGTGTGGGTGTTGTATGAGAACATACAGGATAAAGTTTTCGGTTACAGTTTTGTAGGCACTGAGGGCTCGTGAAGTTTGATTGATGTCGGGTTAGAAAGCCGGGAACAATACATGCTGAATTAAGCGAATTTACTATCAATATAAATGTTAATGCGGTTAGACTTCTCCAATGTAACAATATTTTTCCATCACCGTTGTGTATACAAGCGCAGTAATGACGGGTTGGCGGAAAAATATGTATTCCTTGGGACAATTTTCAATTACTTCATTCAAAATTCTCGATTCCGCAATATTTGAAGATAGAGGTCTGGAGTTTTGCACAAAACTTGTCTTTACAAATAAAAATCAAAGTGTTTATTTATACAGGGTGATTACATTTTCAAACTGTCATTTTTCTCGTATTAATCAAAAATGGAACACGTTAGACTCACAACATTTTTCAAGCTTCTTTTGATGTCAAATTTCTAGAGGTTAATCTCAACAACTTCATCTTGGAATTATTGTTAATATTAAACCCCAACAAGCTTGGTATCAAAAAAAGCTCCAACAAGTTATAAAATACACTAGAAAAACATGAGAAAACTGACGATTTATAAAATTAATAACCCTGATAAATAAACTAAAATACTTTTTTAATTTTTATATGCTTGTAAAAGCAAAAAACGACTGAAGAGTTTTGTTTAAATATTTATTGTACAGAATCCAAAAAATATATATGTGTTCCATAAAAAAATACCACTTCGACCTATAGTCACTAAATAGAATAATATGTATGTTTAAAAATAACTATAAACAAGAAAATAATTTCCTCTCACCAGATCGTCGAGACTCCTGTATATGCATAATATGTAAAAACTAATTCGTGATGATCCACAACGAAATTTCACTTCTTTACGCTACCAAGTAGAGAATCTTTGTGGGTTTCCTGAATTTTATAATACTTCTACGACATTCGTACATATACAGGGTGATTCAGAGCACAACTGCATAATTTTAAGGGCAAATTATATGGCTAAGTAAAAAATGCTAGCGGAAGCTGATCAAAATTACTTTTCACCGTGGTTAATTATTATTAGAAAACAATTCTTATTGTAAGATCTTGGTAACCGTTCGTTCAATTTTTAGACGTTATCAAAGAAATACGTATTTATGCCTTTTCCAAGGTAACTCAGTTACAATAATCAAGAAAACCATGGTTTTTTAAGGCATACAGAAATTTTTTGGTAATAAAGTTAATGATGCTGGAAAATAGTTTGATAACGTAGTTTTGAGAAATCCTCATAGTTTTAGTAGAACTTTCTACTTATTTTTTGCCATATAATTCGCCATTAAAATTATGCAGCAGTGCATTGAATCACCATGTATAATGGGTGAGTCACTAAGACCGAAGTTTTCGATATTTCAATAATAATTATTAGAAACAGAAGAAAGTTAAAGATCAAAGCTTCATAGTTCTATGATTAGCATACATGAAAATTATTTTTCACTTTGTTTGAAATTCCGATGTGGCGTTGACACCTTATTTAGATGTTCCTAAAACTTTTGAGCAAAAATGGATAACAAGAAAAAAACAAAAAACTTCTGTCCTGCAATTTTTTATTAAGTTAAATTTTAGTATACAGAGTGTTTATAAAAGATTTAAACATCGATACTTCAGTTGTTTTAAATAGAACAGACTGTATTTTATGATCACATCTTCCCTGTTTTTATCTTTATTTCGAAATGTTGCGGGATCTCTTAAAAAAGTGAGAATCGCAGAAACTATTAACACTAGATATATAACATTCTTATAAAAAAAAAGAATAAAATACAGAGCAAGATGTTGTATTAAAATACAGGATGTTCTGTTTAAAAAAATATATTTTTGGCCCTTTTTTCCAAACACTCTGTATACCAGAACTTCATTTTGTTGACAACCACACCAAAGCGCGTACCTTTGATTACTTATCTCTCTATAAAGTATGTTAATACAGAAATTAGAATAACGTGGCAACGTCGCGTCGGAATTCCAAAAATAAATAAGGGCTACAAATCCAATAAGGAAGTCAATTAGAATATGTAAAAATTATGTGCGATTTTGTAAATTTCGAATCTAGGTTGGTCTTGGAATACAAATCCAAGTCGTTGATAACACCAATTTTTAAGTTTTTTGCTTTTTTACTGTTCCGCATTTAACTTGACATTGACAGATGTATGGTGTATGCACCCGGCATGCATACGTTTCTAAACTACCAGCCTACCTAAACTAGATATTTAAAGAATCGCACGCTATACAGGTAATTAAAAAGTGACTGATAAGCTCAATGGTACTTTTTTAAGAAAGCTCGGAATGACTCAAGAAAAATGATTAAAAATATTCCTGAAGCTAATTTTTAAAAATATGAAACTTCAAAGTTGAAGATTTAACTTCCTAATCCTGATATGTTTGAATGTGAATTTAATTGATACTCTATAAATTCCCATAAAAATTGTCAAAAATGACATCTCTCAAGAGTAAAAATGAAGTTGTAGATCGTATGCTAGCAAATTATTAATAAATAATTAATTAACTGTCTGTTAGACATGCAGTTCATTAGAACAAATCAGAATTACGAACTTTGAAGTTTAATAACTTTTTAGTAATTTTTTTCGAGTTTTTCAGGGCCTTCTTAACAACGTACCAATGAGTTTATTGCAACTTTTTGATCACTCTTTACAGGTATTTCGTTCAGACAAATTAAGACAAGTGTTACGACTCAAAAACAGAATAATGCATGGGTAAAAATACCGCATGCAACATCGGGAAAGTTGACACTGTTATACACTGTCAGATTTTTAGTTTGAACCATAAGTTTTGCAATATGGCATATTTGTGTTAATTTAGTGAATTTTTTTTTACACCAAACTTAGAGAAAAATCATCGTTGATTAAAAAATATTACAGAGCCAGTTTGACTTTCAAACTAAAAATTTAGATAAATAAATCATGTAATCTACTCTTATAGAAAATGCTACGTGAATCACTTTTGTTGAAGAAAAGCTTTTTAAACAACTAGGTCACCCGACTTTCGTGAGAAAGTAAAAAAAGTCTATTTTTTTCTAGAAAACAGGGAAAGTTGCAATGATTGCAGGTTACTGTTGATCTCTTTTAACGGATATAATGCCATTACAAAGAAAATAATCGCACATTTTCTACAAAATTTTACTCTAAATCTATGGTGTCGTTTAATTTTGAAAAAACTGCTTAAATGATTTTTTGAAAAACTAAATGTGACAAACGTCATCTCAGTGAAACGAAAAATTAGTGACTCACCCTCTATACAACACGGTTAAATTAAATTTACCAGAATGTCGACATTATTGGCCTTGCAGCGTAAGTGAAGTGTCACTTGGTGTAAGTAGCGCATCCAGACCTCCAGGGACTTGTACAGTTGTACGAGACAGTGACAATATACTAATTTTTTTTATATTTTTTATCGCGAGCCACCCATTGTAACCCAGTGGACGAGCCAACCTGGATCTCATTTTGTATCACACGCCATTAAACTCTAGCAATTACCTCCAATAAATAATACATCACCTTTCCATTCTTTATTTATCACCCATATTTCAAACCGCCCAGACGACGCGTGTATTCGCCAAGTTGATGATTAAATTTAAGTATCTTGCATAAATTTATAGCAAGTAATACAAAAACATTCTCGACATCTTCCGTGCTTGAGAGCATGTCCTACAGCGCCTACAAGACCGCACCGCATTACGACCGAACATTTACGTAAGATGAGTTATGGTTAGAAAAGCAGTGAGCAGATGCCGTAACGGCACTAACCTTCACTAAAATGATGATTAATAATCGCAATTAAAGTATGACAACGAACATGCAGACTGCACAAAGACTGGTATGAGAGTTTTGGGTGTATACCTTGATGGGAACTATGTCAGTGCAATACATTTGTTGCACGTAGTGTGTGCCGGCGGCCAGTTGACGAGTCTGGTCGATCTCCCAGGGCTGATGGAAAGAACGGAAAGTGCTGTGGACTGCGGGGACGCCAGGCGATGGTGGGCCCAAGGGTGCGTGCACCATCACGTCCTTACACAAACATGCAGCATAAGCAAGGTAGAGCTCAGCACACCCGCGGTTTTATGTGCGTTGCAGCACCAGAAACGCATTCCACATCGTTCCGCAAGGCACATACTCGACGTTCGCAATTCTATTACCGTTTTCGAAAGTCCACCAGGTGGAATTCGTTCACTCGACACTGACTTTTTTATTTTTGTTTACTCAGTGGTTTATGAATCCGCCTTGAAATTAGAATAGAGACGTTATGTTGATGTTATGCACCCTGTTACATCTTCTGTAGCAATATGTCGTCTTTATAATAAAAAACCGTCCATTTTTCAAACGTAGTTAATAATTCACTACTTGGTGTAAATTCGAACAGGATGTTTCTGGTGGGTGTTGCACTATTTTAAAACAAGTAGGGTTACCCCCGAACGATGTGAAACGGTGATGTTAAATAAATCATTAATACATTCAATTAAATTTTGAAAATCGTTAAAACATGCTCAAACTATAAAATGCATAGAATTTATTAATTCGTTCTAGAAGACAAGAGTCATCTAAGTACGAGCACAAAGTGCCTGTGTGTAAATACATACCTGTGTAGCGTAGATTCTATTCGAATCTGTGTTTATTCTCTTCCCCGCCCTAATATCTTTCACTCTTTTAATAGCTAGCATAATTTTCTTCTGATGCCCTAACTTAACAATTCCAAATTCTTCTAAGTCCTCCCATGTCAATTGCGTCACATCGTCCACAGTCTGATAACCCTGATCCAAAAAAGCCGGAAGATACTCTTCTAACCTCAGCAACTGCAACCACTCTTCCAGCGATCCCTGAGAAAATTTATAATAAATAAACTGAATCGACGGAGCGCGCAGGCGCGACTTACAGGTATGAATTCCGGTAAGTTGTCGGGCAGATTTAGCTGAGCGATTTCAGCTTTGAGCCGCTTTCGATGATTCGGCTTTTTGATTCCTATGGCTGTTAGGTCTTCTGGTGTCATCCGACCTATTGTCGGTAGGTCGTAGCCGGCGCCCACAAACAACGGGAAGTATTCGTCGTATTGTAAGTCTACCAGCCATGCATGAATAATTTCTTGGTCCTGGAAATCGTCTATCAAAACACGTCACAACATTTTAACATCGATGCTTACAGGAACTCCTTGATGAATCATTCGTTCGATTCTGCCGTGTTCGGATCCTATCGAACAAGAGCTTAAGGAACATCGTGGACTATTTGAAGACCCTATAGTACTTCTACCTGCTGTACTTAGCGGATGGTAGGACGCCCTGCCGCTGTCCAAGGACGCCGTGCTGTGTCGCGAACCGGAGCCAGCGCTACCGCTCGACGAACCTGGACTGTCTCTCCCCGGAGACTGAAACGAAGTTTTTTATTTATAACATATCCGGTTATTATTATTCGATAAATAAAAAGAATTCGTAGAGAAAAAGATTAATATGGAAGGAGCAATGATTATTAATATAAAACTCGACCACACCGTCTCTCTCGCAGACATATTCATTAAACAATGGAAGATACTACAACGTGTATTTTTCAACTATGGACAGATTAATATTAATGCCCTGACTGTAGCAAATGTGATCCTATTTATATGATGAAAAATGGTCTGGTGCTGACTTCAAGGGGATTTATTATTTCAAAAGACTTCTTGAGAGAAACTAGTTCTCTAGTGGGGCATGAAATTTGTCTTTAAAATAATCATGTTGGCATTGCAGCTATTTGACAGTTAGTTTGATCCAACTGTCAGACTGAACAAAGAACGTGTTTATTATTTTAAAAATAAATTCCATAGTTGACTAGAGAACGTTTTTTTCTCAGCTTCAAATTTTATCACCATAGATGAAAGTATGATTTTTTATGGTTTTTTTTTGGAACTGTTAAATTCAAATCGATTAACCAAAAATTCTCATAATTTCTGGTTCATGCAGATAAATTGGTATACGGTTTCAAAATAAAATTGTGCTCGGAAAAAGGTCAAAAATTTCGTAAGTTGCATTGCGTTGAAAAATTGAGCTGTTGGCAGTTATGCAAAAATTCATAAAAAAAGCTTAATATAGATCACGACGAGCTTTTTCGGAAAACACTTGTCAATGGCCCCAGACCAAAATTTTTCTGAACATTTGATTTCCAAATCAAACTTTTAAAATATCTCAAGATTAGCTTATTTGTCTTTGGGTATTTTGGAAAAATAATTGGAACTGTCGAAAAAATGAGGCCTAAAATAACTCCTAAATCGACATCAACAAAAATCCCTTTGGGTAATTTTCGAAAGTGCTCGCGAAAATGTAAAAAAATTATAACTGAATAATTGATCTTCTGATAAAGTTTCCACAAAAAAAATTAATGAGCTGATTTGAAAAACATTGCAAATTTTTAAAATATTACAAAAATGGCCTTATTTCATATTGGTGATGCTGAAAAAATAGTTCAAATTTTCGAAAAAATGAAACCAAAAATAACTTATACGAATCGAAATCAACAAAAAAATACATCTGGATAATTTTCAAAAGTGCTACGAAAAAATTAAAAAATGTTATTAAAAAAATCAGCTTTTAGCAGTTGTCCAAAAATTTCTTGACGAGCCTACTGGAAAAATATAACCCAGCCAAGATTTCCGGAACATTCGGTTTCTAAATCAATTTTTAAAATATATATTTCAAAAATGGCTAGGTATTTTCACTTTGAGGATTTTGGAAAAATGGTAGAAATTTTTGAAAAAATTACTTCTGCGTTTTTGGGTGATACAGTAAAATTCCATTTCCCAAAAATCCATAAAAACCTGAGATATAGATCTCGACGAGCTTATTCAAAAAATATAACCTATTAGTGGTTCCAGATCAAGATTTTCGGAACATTGGGTTTCAAAATCACATCACATTTTTAAAAATACATATCTCAAAATTGGCTATACTTCATTTTGGGGATTTTGGAAAATTAGTCGGAATTTTGGAAAAAGTGAAGCCGAAAATAACTTCTGGCAGTTGAAATGAACCGAAAAAATCTCTAGGTAATTTTCGAAAGTGCTCGGGAAAACTTCAAAAATGTCATAATTGAAATTTGCACTTGCTAGGATAAGATTGATTTTGCCCATATTAAACTTGTAAAAACCTGTTAAATTTAAAAGGTGTTAAATTGCCTATTTCCATAGCATCGAGTTAAATTTCTAAATTTGATTGGATGTTTATTTTTTAACAACTCGGGCATTGATTTTTCTGAGACACCTTGTAGAAGCAAATTTAAAAAATATTAGTTATATGTTATTAACAATAAATCACAAGTATATAGTCATCATATTTTGCACATTTAAGATCATGTCATCAAATTTTAGGGGGGGGATGCCAAATATATTTTGATCAAAAATTTACCATGCTTATGACAATTTTAAAACATCTCCAAGTTTTCAATTTGGTTTTTAGAATTTTTTATTTTTCGTTTTTAAGTGTCCCGATTTTTTAATTTTTCAGTTTTTCGATTTCTCGATTTTTTGATGTTTCGATTTATTGATTTATTAATTTTTCGATATTTCAGTTTTAGGATTTTTTCTGTTGATTTTTAAATTTTTCGATTTGTGATTTTTCAATTTCTCTTTTTTTTCTGTTTCTGTAATTTTTACGACTTCCGGTGTAAATTTTTTAGGGCGGGTAGGCGGGGTTAATATTTGATAAGATAAGTGTGATTTTGGCACTTTTGACCATTCGACCATTTTTCAACTATTTTCGAAAAATAGTTGAAAACATTTTCTTGTATATTTCGATGTACAGAAGTCATTTTCGGTTTCTATTATTAGTTTCCACTCCCACTCGAAAGAAGAACATAATTATTATCCCCGCCCACCCACCCTGTCTCCTTTTCATGATTGATTTTAACCGATCTGAATAAAATGAATGATCTTATACTGAACTGAAATAAAATTAGTCGTTAGAACGAGAAGAGGGTGGGTGGGCGGGGCTAGTACCTGCTATGATAAGACTGATTTTGGCAAATGACATACCTTCTAAGAAAAAAGAAGGTGGGCGGACGGGGCTAGTATTTGATAAGGTAAGACTGATGTTGACACTTTTGACATTTTCGACCATTTTTCAACTATTTTCGAAAAATAGTTGAAGACATTTTCTTGTAGATTTCGATGTCCAGAAGACATTTTCGGATTTTATAATTAGTTTCCACTCCCATTCGACGGAAGAACATAATTAACCCCGCCCACCCACCCTGTCTCCTTTTTAGTGATTGATTTTATCCGATCTGAATGAAATGAATGAATGATTATACTGAACAGAAATAAAATTAGTCGTTAGAATCAGAAGAGGGTGGGTGGGCGGGGCTAGTACTTGTTAAGATAAGACTGATTTTGGCAAATGACATACCTTCTAAGAGAATAGAGGGTGGGTGGGCGGGGCTAGTATTTGATAAGATAAGACTGATTTTGGCACTTTTGACATTTTCGACTATTTTTCAACGATTTTCGAAAAATAGTTGAAAACATTTTCTTGTAGATTTTATGACCAGAAGTCATTTTCGGTTTCTATTATTAGTTTCCACTCGCACTCGACAGAAGAACATAATTAAATCTGACAACGTTTCCATAAAAAAATATGAAATATAGATTTCGACAAGCACACTCGAAAACTATAGCGCGTTGGTGGTCCCAGACCAAGATTTTCGGAACATTCGGTTTCAGAATTAAATTTTTAAAATAAGTCAAAATAAAAAAAATCTCTTTGGGTAATTTTATGAAGAGCTTGCAGAAAGATAAAAAATTTCATTAACAAAAAAATTAAGCTTTTGACAAAGTTGCCCCAAAATCCACAAAAAAATCTGGAATGAAAATCTCGAGCTTATTTGAAAAATATGACCTGTTGATGGCCCCAGACCAAGATTTTCGGCACATTCGGTTTCAAAATCTTTTTTTTTTAATCTTAATAATGGCTATACTTTCTTTTGGGCAAATAAATAGTTGGCATTTTCGAAAAAATTAAATTGAACATAACTTCTGCGAGTCGAAACCAACAGAAACAATTCTTTTTGGATAATTTTCGAAAGTGCTCGGTAAAAGGTCAACAATTCAGCTTTTGGCACAGTTGTCGAAAGATACACAAAAAGTTCTGGATACAGTTCTCGACGAGCTTTTTCGAAAAACATGGGCTGTCCAGAACAAGATTTTCGAAATATGAAGGTCAATAAATTAAAAAAACAGCGCGTTGATAGTGTCAGGACCACGGTCATCAAAACATTCGGTTTTAAAAATAAGATTAAAAAAAATCCCATAAATGGTCGTATTTCATTTTCACGAATCTAGAAAAATGGTTGGAATTTTCAAAGAAATAAAGTCGAAAGTAATTTCTGCAAGTTGAAATCAATCAGTGTTCGTAAAAAGCTCAAAACTTCGTTGAAAAAATGAGGATTGGTCCAACTATCCCCAAAATCCACAAAAAATTCTGGGACTGTTGGAAAATAACTTCTGCTATCGAAATCAACAAAAAAATCTCTTTGGGTAATCTTAGAAAGAGCTTGGAAAAAGACCAATTTCATTATTGAGGGGTATTGAAAAATCCACAAAAAAAAAATAGGATTTAGAATTCAACGAGCTGATTCGAAATACCGCAGACCAAAATCTTTGACACATTCTGTTTCGAAATTAAGTTTTTAAAATACATATCACAAAAATGACCATATTTCAAGTAAGTCGAAATTAACAGATTTTTGGATCATTTTCGAAAGTGCTTGGAACTAGGTCAAAAATCCTTTGAAAAATTGAGCTTTGGACAAAGTTTCCCACAAATCCACAAAAAATTTTGAAATATATGTAGATCTCGATGTGCTAAATCGAAAAACATAGCGCTTTGATCGTTGCGGACCAAAATTTTCAAAATATTGGGTTTGAAAATAAGATTTTTCAAAAATCCCATAAATGATCATATTTGATTTTGGCGATTCTAGGAAAAGACGGTTGGATGGTTGGAATAAATGAAGCCGAAAATAACTTCTGCAAGTCGAAATCAACAAAAAAATCTTTAGATAATTTTTGAAAATACCCGGTGAAAGGTCACTAAATAGAAAAATCGATCTTTTTTTTACAATCTCTTTAGGATTTTTTTTCTTTTAAATATGAGCTCCGTGAACACGGGCAAAATTGAAGAACTTCCCTAATTTCATTGAAATTGACACTGTGTTTCTCATGATATCTTAATTAAAAATTGTACTAATATAATTTCCATCCGTTAAGTATAAAACTTATTTGATTTTATTCGAATAACCCTAGTCAATACGCTCGATTATATGGTAATTGGTTATGGAGTTACTCAGGGATCAATACTTGGGTCAATATTTTTTAATATGTGCAATGCTTACTTTTGTTCTGGTCTTCTTAATATTTTGCTTTTGTTGTTTGCCGTTTATTTCTAGCTTACTAATTAATCTTGAAAAAATCATAAATTGTAAATTAAGTGTATTTCTTCAGCAAAAGCACACTATATTTTTTATTATTATCTAATATATGAACTTTTTTGATTGCGTATTTGGACAAACGAAAGAAAAAAGGAAAAACAACGACAAGACAAGTGCGATCGAAGCGAGCTACTTCCGAAATTTGCCAATACAGCTCCGTTAGATAAAAGACTTACTTGTGTCATGTCTATACCCTGATCCTCCTGTAAGCTAAGTTGGTGGTGGTAGTAAACCGCCGCCTTATGTGTGAGAACGCCGCCGGGGGGTGGCTGTCCCGGAAACGTGAACGTGGGTGCCGGAAAAATGGGTCCAGGTGACTTCCCCGTACTGCTGCTAACCGTGCTTCCATAATCTGAATGGTCATCTGCAAAGAACCAGCGGTTAATGATACTTGGAATGCAGGGTGGTGCGTCTTTTAAAATTCAACGTGAGATCGTTTATTTGTACGACGATACATCGACCCCGCGAATACTACTAACAAAAAGTTCAACTGACATTCTTCATAAGATTTGAGCGCGCACGGCGCCGAGAAAGGCAAAGCGAGTGGATCTTGACACTGCCATACTGGGACGCTGCACATACTGACAACGGGACGAATGGGAATTTTTATTAGAAAACGAACAAGGAGTTTTTTTCTTGGGGACGAGTGATATCCTCATTCTTCGGATGTTAGATTGGCGGGCTTTGGATACATTAAAAAAACGTTTCTTTTGAAAATAAATGTGATGATGTGGTGGAAATGGGAGCTGTGGGTTGCGAGAAGTAATTATAGGGACATTAAGTAATTACAAGATTTTTGACATAATGATGGGTTGTTGAACTGCATAAAATTTGCAAAAACGTTTTGGACAGAGACTGCCGGTTAAAAAAAGCAAGAATTAATAACTAACAGTTGTAAATTACGAGGTTTTAGCACGGAAGACATTACATAAAGCTTCGAACAGCGACACATCCTTGACTTGCAGATTTAATGTTTAATAACTGGTGTAGATCATGTTATGTCAATGGTGGAAAATTGCTACACATCAATTACAAAAAAAAATGTATTTCGACATAACTTCTTTATAAAACTTTTTTGAGTTTTTTGTTTTTGATAACCTCTCTAAAGTTAAAACCACTTGCGTAAATAATATTCCCGCACCTTTTTGACTTGAATTTTTCGAAGTTTCAAGTTTAAGTTTTTTGAATATTTAATTTTTTTTTTCATTATTTTCATTATTTTTCAATTTTTTGATTTTTCAATGTTCCGATTTTATAATTTTTTGTTTTTCGATTTAAATTTTTTCAATTTTTTGTTTATTCAATTCCTCGATTTGCAAGTTGTCAGTTCTTCGATTCGTAATTTCACCAGTTTAAAATTTTTGTCTTCAATTTTTCATTTCTTTATTTTTTCTGATTTTCAATGTTCTGATTTGATAATTTTTCTTTGTTCCAACGTGAAATTCTTCAATTTTTGGATTTTTCAATTTTTCGGTTTGCAAATTTTGGCTTATTTTTATTTATTTTTTTTCAATTTTTGATTTGCAACTGTTCTAGCTTCCAGTTTAAATATAATTTTTTACGATTTTCAATTTTTCAATATTACGATTTTAGAATTTTTCAATTTTTATTTTTCAATGTTCTGATTTTAAAATTTTTCAATTTTTCTATCATTCAAAGTTCCAGTGTGTTGACGTTACAATTTTGAGATTCTATAATTTTTGCGATTTTACAATTTTTGAGTTTCCCAATTTTTCGATTTACTAATTTTTAATTTCTTCAAATTTTCGACTTGCAATTTTTCGTTTCAGTTTTTTAATTGCTTTATCTTTTCAATTTTTAGATTTTTCAATGATCTGGTTGTATAATTTGTTGTTTTTTCGATTTATATTTTTTCAATTTTTCTATTTCTTTAATTTAACAATATGAAACTCTTCGAGTTTTCATTTTGAAATTCTTCAATTTTTCGATTTTCCAACTTTTAGGTGATTTAATTTTTAGGTTTAGCAATTTTTCCATTCGCAATTTCATCAGATCTAAATTTTTAATTTTTCAATTGTTCTCTGTAGTATAGATAAGACTGATTTTGACAGACGTCATACCTTCTGAGAAAATATGGGCGGGTGGGCGGGGCTAGCACTTGCTCAGATAAGACTGATTTTGGCAAATGCCATACCCTCTGAGAAAATAGGGGGCGGGTGGGTGGTGATAGCACTTCCTAAGTTAAGACTGGTTTTGCCCCTATTAAACTTGTAAAAACTTATTAAATTTAAAAGGTGTTAAATTGCATATTTCCATAGTAACGAGTTAAATTCATAAATATGATTGGATATCTATTTTTTAACAACTCAGTCATTAATATTTCTAAGACACTCTGTATGAGCAAATTCAAAAAATATTAATGATTATATATTAAAAATAAATCACAAGCATAGACTCATCGTATTTTGGACATTTAAGATAGGATATATTCAGCAATATTTTGCTTATAAGAACTTTAAAACATCTCCAAGATTTCAAAGGATTCGGTTTTGCAGTTCCAGTTCAATAAAATAAATTCACGTATTCATTAATTTTTTTAAGTTACCCTGTATATGCAAATCCAAAAAATATGAATGCAGTGATAAATCACAAGTAAAAATTCATCATATTTTGCACATTTGGGGTAGATTTAGGAATTTAACTCGTTGCTATGGAAATTTGAATTTTTGGTTTTTCAACTTTTAGTTTTTATTTTTCGTTTTTTCAATTTTAGATTTTTTCAGCTCTCGATTTTCCAGTTTTTCTTTTTTCAATTTTTGATTTGTAATTTTTCTAGTTTTCATGTTAAATATTTAATAACTAATATTTTTTTAAATTTTCAGTTTTTCAATTTGGACGATTCTACAATTTTTGGGTTTCCTAATTTTTTTTGTTCATCAATCTCTGTCTTTTTTTTAATTCTCTATTTGCAATTTTTCATTTCGGTTTTTTATTTTCTTTATTTTTACAATCTTTCAAAGTTTCCATTTTTTTTTGTTTCTTCAATTTTACGATAAGAAACTCTTCGAGTTTTCATGTTGAAATTTTTCAGTTTTTAGATTTTCTAACTTTTTGGATATTTGAATTTTTAGATTTTGCACTTTTTCGATTCACAATTTCAGCAGTTTTTAATTTAAAATTTTTCAATTCTTCAAAATTTCTGTTTTCCATGTTCTGATTCTATAATTTTTCTGTTTTCAGTGTGTAAATTTTAAATATTTGGATTTTTCAATTCTCAATTTTTCAAATCTTCTTTTTTTTCAATTTTTGATTTGCAAATTTTCTCAGTTTTCATATTAAATATTTAATAATTATAATTTTTAAAGTGTGCACTTTTTCAATTTTACGATTTTAGAATTTTTCCAATTTTCAATAATTGAATTTAAAAAATTTTTCATTTATTCAAAATTTAATTTTTAAATTTTTCCATCTTTCAATGTCACAGTTTTTCGACTTTACAGTTTTGACGTTTCTGTAACTTTTTGATTTTACAAATTTTGGATTATCCGATTTTTCAATTCATGAATTTTTTTCGATTTTTAGTATTTTAATGTTTCAATTTTTTGTTTCATCAGTGCTTCGATTTGCAATTGCCCGTTTTTTTCAGTCTCTCAATTTTTTAATTTTTCGATTTTTCAAATTTTTCGATTTTTCAACTTTTCGAATCAAAAAATGTAAAAAGTGAAAAATCAAAAATGACAAAATGAAAACTTTGAAAAATCTAAAAATTGGAAATCAAGAACTTGAAAAATTGGAAAATTGAAAGATTAAAAATTGAGAAACTTAAAAATCGAAAAATCGGATAATTGCGAAATCCAAAAATTGCAAAATTGAAAAACTGAAAAATCAAAGACTGGAAATTTGAAAAAACAAAAAATTGTGTTATAAAAATCGAGAAAATGAAAATTAAAAAATCGGGAATATGAAATATAAAAATCAAGAACTTGGAGAACTGAAAAATTTTGCCGTCGAGAAAATATTGAAAAATTGGAAAAATGAAAAATTAGTGAACAGAAACACTGAAAAGTGGATAAATAAAAAAATAAAGAATATGATCGAAGAAAAAGGAAAAACGAAAAATTCTGATATCAAAAAATTGATCGAAGGTAAATAAATTGATTTTTCGAAAAATTGTAAAGAATTTTATTTTTTTATAACAACCCTTGTTAAGTTAACAATAAGATATATATGTAATGTCAAAGTAAATGTAAAGAAGCATGCTAGGCGTTTGTTTCAAGTGAGTTTTTCCATTACAAAATTTTGTGATGATCGACATTTTTACAATGACACGTTATCAATTTAGATAAATGCAGTGTAATAATAATAATACTGAAATCACAAATTTTCGGGAAAATAGAGTGAGTAGCTCTTGATTTTAATCCATACAATAAATTGCCTCATTCATTAATGTTTTTGAGTCACCTGTAAAAGTATAAGTAAGTATTTAATTCTAAAATTCTAAAAGGATTTATTCGGCAAAATTTTGAGCAAACCCAATCAATTTTTTGGAAGGGTGATCAATGAATAAATTTTGCAAGATTTCAAAGCATTCGGTTTTGCAAATTGCCAAAAATGTTACAAAATTTTGATATTTTTCCAAAAATCTGGACGTCCAGAGTAAAAACTGAACACGGACTCATAAACCACATGTGAAGGATTATCTTATTTTATAAAATTGAAATAATAGTTACTAATGTAAATTTTGGTTATCGTTTTACCAACTATACGATATTCCTAATAGACATAACTTCGCTCGGGAATCAAAAAGGAACATTTTACCAAATTTTAAAACAAGTATTGACCATAAACTTAAATGTGCAAATTCGCGATTAATTCCATACCAAAATGATAATTCCGACTTCAGTTCACGTATAGCCATAATCCATCATGACTCACCCCCACCCTCATCCACAAAGCGCCAAACAAAACCTCCTTAAAAAGGAATTCCGTCTTAGTCTGCGCTATAAATCGTGCATTATAGGAACATCTTCAGAGCAATCCATGCATGAAATGGGCAGACACGAGCCCCACGTTCTATCAAAGTACAACACTGTGCGATAAACACGTCCCCTATTGTTTTAAATTCAGCTGACTCCCCGTAAATCTCCTTAACGGCGTCGCCCTTGCACTACTTGGTGATCTAGAACCAGTGGTCCTCCGACGTGGCCATAAATCCCGGCAAATAGTTCCTCACTAGACCATATCCAAAATTCATTCTTCGCTTCTGGCGACCGCTGCCGCTCAAATAAATTAATTTCGTCCAAATTAACGGCGAGTTCGTTTAACTGCCGACAAATGCGGACACTGCCTAAAGGACATTCCACAGACGGAAGCCATCAATAAAGTGGTGTATTGTGATTTATT